GGTGAGTAGAACATGGCACTTCCATGTCACCCTCCTTTCTGAGAGCTGTATGTAGGGCATGGAGATGTGAGGAAATAAGAAAGAAAAAAAGAAAGCCAAACACAAGGAAAACAAAAACGATAATTTAATCACAAGCAAAAACAAAAAAACAAAAACACAACTGAGCATAGCTACACCAATAGGGGGTATTTATGGGAAAAGAGGTGTACCCAAAAGATGAAAGGGATAGAACTCACCACAATGGGTCTCTGTACAGATGCCAACATAGAAAGAAGATATCATTAATTCCCTAGAGTGGAATGCACTCTTTACACAGATAATAATTAGCTCAAGAAATCAGGCAATCACCATTTGCATTCTGGTCCAGTTACAATTAGTACCAATAAGCTTTTTTTAAAAAAAAAAAACCACCCAGATCATCAGAATATGAATTCCATTCACAAAGTAACTGCTATGTTCATAAATGTGATTCACACTAAAGCAGTCCCACAGAGCTCAGTAAAACTACCTCATATAGTTTCTTGATTGCAAAATGTGATCATTGTTTTAAATTTTATTATCAAGTGCATGCATATTCTGCATAGCTGTAGGAATGCCACCAAACTGCTGCATTTGTTATCATGTACCAAGTAAGAGAACTGGTACAGAAGTTGTTTTCTTAAGAATCCCAGCCTTATCCCAGTAGTGTATCTTGGGACATCTACTGGCTGTACACTCTGCATCTGAAAATTGTACCATGTCAGATCGGTGGTAAACTTCCAAGTTCATTTCTCAATCTAGTGGCTTCAGAATTTGGCTATGTCAGGAGGGAGACAGGAGGAGTTTGAACATATTGATTCTCTCTTTTCTCTCATTGCACTGCAGTGGATGCACTTTTACTTGGATGGATGGCTGCAGAAGGTGGTGCTTGGGGAATATCGTCCAGCTCCATCACTTTTCCAGTATGGGGGTCGTCACAGAAAATTTTGTGCCCCATCCTATTTAACATCTACATGAAAATACTGAGTGTGGTCATCCTGATTCTCTGAGTGTGCTTTCATCAGTATGATTATGACAATCTGCTCTACTTTTCATCTTCATCAGGAGAGATAGTGGGTGTGCTAGATGGGTACCTAGCTGCAACAATGAACTAGGTGAAAGCTTGATGAATCCTATTCCGTTGTTAGTGGTGAATTTCCTTTATTTATTTATATTTATATAGCTCCTATTTATTTCAAGGAACTCAGAACAAGCATCCTGGAAGTCTCATATTTGTTTCAGCGCCAGGTTAAAACCTTTTTATTTCACTGTTATTTTAAAAACTAATTTAAAATTCTAATGTTTAACAGTAGCTTTTATTTAACTTATTTAATTTGTATTTTTGGTTAATTGTTATTTATTGTTGTTTTATTGTGCAACAAAATAATATATTAAATATTGTTAAAATATATTAAAACAATTTATTACAATTTATTGTGGTTGTTTTGAGATGCTATGCATAAGGGACAGCATACAAAAGTTTTAAATATATGAATACATAAGGTGGCTTGTATAACTGGAGAGTTCTCAACCTGTTCCAGAAGAACATCCTCTTGGAAGAAGCAGATTCATTGCTTGAGTCATCTTCATCACTTGAGGCTCAGTTGGCCTCAGTGGCACAGAGTGCCTTCTACCAGCTTTGGCTGGTGACCTAGCCTGACTTTGAACATGGTTCAAAAGCAACAGCTGGTGCAAAATGTGCAGCCTCATTAATAACAGGGACAAAAAGATCCAAACACAGAACACCAGTTCTGGCTCCCTTTTACCATTATGTTTCTGAGCCCAATTCAAGGTGCTGGTTTTAACCATTTAAAGCCTTTCAATGGCTCAGGACTGCAATACCCAATGATCTAAGACCATCTTCCGGGGGCCCCCTCTGAGGGAAGCTGTCAAAGTGACAGCAAAGGAGGAGGCCTTCTGGATAATGCCCTCCCCCACCCCAAATTTTTTTTAAAAAAAATCTCTGCAATGAGCCTTGGTTATTGAAAAGCATTAAATGGAATGAATGAATGAATAAATAAATATTGTTATCTTTTCAGTGCTGGTTTAAGATCTTCCTTTTTTCTCAAGCATTTGGAAGCACGTGATAAAGGTTTAATCAAACCTTGTTAATTTTTTCTTATTGTTACTTAGTTAACATTGTTTACATATATGTATCTCTGTCTGTGCCCTTCTGTTTATATGCATGTAAATAGTTTTTATACTATGCATAATGTATTTTAATGTTCTTAATCACTGAAACTGCCCAGCTATTGGTCAGCATAGCAACTAATATATGAAAAAAATGAAAATAAGCATGGCTCATCAAATGCTGGAGCCCTGTGGAGTTCTGTGCTTTGATCACAGTCATCTGGTTAAGGATGTAAGGCACAGTCATAGTTAGAAAAATGGCATAGATATCGCATAAGAAAGCACAGGAACCTACAGCATACATTACAAATGATATGAAAAATATACTCGCTCTTCCTTGGGAAAAAAATCATATTGGCTTGTCTAAGATAAAGGCGAAGGAACACTATCTTATGAATTCCATTTACTTGAACTCACCTTTAAAACTGAACTACATACAAACAGTATGCAATACTTTCTTCTCCAATAAATTTCTGTGTTGCACATAATGTAATGCAATGGTACTTGCTATTTTCAGACTCTTACCATAACAACAGTAAAGTTTTATCAAACAAAGATACAAGCACCATTAATTTTAAAACTAGCCTTCATGAATCAAAACATAAGTGTGGCACAGTGCCAATACAAAATAATTTTACATTGTAAAATGTGAATGTATTAAGGCTCTCAATATTTTATCATTTTATTTTACACAAACATTCTCCCAAAGTTTTGTCTTTTTAAAAAAATGCAAAACAACCTCATAGCCTCTTACTGAGAAAGGTTACCTTGGGGCCTTTCCTTTTGTGCCCTTTGTCTATTCGTCTGTTGCCCTCCCACTGCTCTCCCTCTCAGACAGACAGACAGACAGACAGACAGACAGACAGACACACACACACATTTCCCACTTAGGAGAAAGAACCAACAGGGGATGAATCTTCACTTCACATGCAATCTTGTTCTGCATCTTGAGTTATTAGTTTAGTGAAAGTGGAACTAACATCCCCCCCACAACCTTAGGGCACCAACCAGCCAAATTAAGCATTTCAAAATCCTCCTGAGATTTAATGGGCATGACCAGGGCATGATCTGAAGGCAGATTATGCGGTGAGTTTGCAGCAGTTAAGCCACTCTGTCTGGTCAGTTCCTGGACAGAATACCAGCTAGGAATCCTATGCATGCCTCACTGATCGAAGACACAGAAGATAGAGGTATAATTATAAAATAAACAACAAATACATTTTTAAAACTATGATTTCAATTAAAAAGATTTTAGCGCCTGTTTTTAATGACACAAGGACTTAATTTTAGATGGATCCCCCTTTGGAATAGGAGTGGGGAACCCATGGGACTCCAGACTACAATATCCATCATTCTTGGCCACTGGCAATAGTGGCTGGGACAGATGGAAGTCAGAGTCCAACAACATCTGGAGGGTCACAGGTCCCCCACCCCTCTTTTAGAAAAAAGTGTGAAAATTACGATAAACATGTTAATTTGTCCAGAACACAAAACATTGGGAACTGAATGAATTTGTTTCTAAGAAAAGTTGCTTGAGGGAAAAAAGCCATACTGACATGGCATTTGAAAGAGGAAATTAAAAACATATATAAACATAAGAGTGATCATATAATTAAGGAGCCTTTCTGTTTTCCAATATTACTCTCGTCTTTGCAGAGGCCCATTTCAAAAAATACTCTTTTACCATGCATGGACCCAGATTACACAGATGATTGACAGATTTTGTTTGCGATATTGAGCAGTTCTGCTGATATCAGATTTTATGTTTGTACATAGACCTATAGATGTTGGTAGACTACAACTCCTGTCATCCCTGACATGTTAGTGCTGGTAGGGGCTAAAGCAATTTGCCCATCCAACCCTCTCCTATAGCATTCCAATAGTACAGGGATGTATAGATGTCCTGCAGCCTGAATGAAAGGGTTCATGGTTCGGCAGGGAAAGATGTCACACCCTATCCTATGCATATATACTCTTCAGAGAAAACCCTTAATTTCCACAAGATCTAAAATAATTTTAATTTCCACACGAGCTCTGTGGTAAGTAGTCACATAAAACTACAAAGGTCTTTCAAAGATAATGAATCTGTATGTAGCTGAAAAGTTAGAACAAAATATATTGTTGAAGGTACTGAAAAACAGCTTGATAATCCTACAAGTTTTCTGCTTTAACGCAGTCTTGTCCACATGTAGGAAATACATCAGCACACCTGCACTGAATGATGTAGTGTAGGATGATAGGAACACTGTGAAAAAGTCAGTATCAGGTACATATCAGTACAGCTCTGGCATGGGCTAACATCTCTCTATGGCGTTCAGGCTGGAGACTATTTAAAAGATGGGGGAATTGAAGCACTGCCTCCCACCTCCTGATCATCAAAGATGGTACAATGGTTGTACAAGATGGTACAAGCAATGCATTGACAGCTGATAAATTGTGCATTCACTTTCCTAAGATTATAAAGAAATGTTGTCTTCTTTTATGTTGCAGTTGCAATGTTTCCTCTAATAGAACCATATCTGGAGTTCCATTTTTTTTTCTGTAACAAACCTCCAACCCTTTCCAAATCTATTAATCCTATATCCTAAAGATCCCCAGTTCAATGTAATATTCCCTTATCCTAGGTTCTGATTTTAAGTGTAAAACTAACAATAATCTTGCCTCATATAACATATGAAATAAAAGTCTTTTGTTATCTTCAGAAACCACCCTTTGTATAACAATGATACTTTGTATCTTTGCATCTATGGGGCTGTGTAGAAATGAGAACAACAACAACACACAACTAAATGTGGGCAAACGTTACATTATAGCAGAAAGATGCTACATTTACCCATATGTTTATGGCATACCTTTTACATCTTCATCTTCAATGGTTGTGTTAGAGCTCTCTGTTGATTCCTGTTGAGAAGTACAATATGAATTCATTAACTGATTCACTCTTCTTACCTTCTGCTTGACAGTTTACAACTGTTGTCATGTGCATCATGCAAAGCACAGAAGCAGACCATATGACTGCATGACTCAGACAAATAACCACAGAAAATGACTGCTTCTACCTGAAAGAAAATGTCGGGTGGTCCAATCCAGTTTGGAAAGGAACATTTAAAGAGACATATTTCCTGTTGTCCTGTTTTGAACTCCACAGGAATATCAAGGAAAAAAACTGAAAATGGACTTATTTGGTTTTCTTATAACCTTTGATGCTTTTTAGACAGATAATGGTGAGTTGGTTTAGCTGACCATTAGAACGAGTCATTTTTTGCCTGACACTGAAGAGCACAAAACCATTCACTGTAGAAATACACTCTGAATTCATTTGCAGAATGATTCAGTGTCTACTAATTGAATTGCAGAAACATAAAAGCTCTCATTGACTCCATACAGATGGAGTACAGTCTGTGGTCTAATGTTGATACTGTTCCAGGATTAAAAAAAAACCTGTGCAAACAGAACGTCCATGGGCCAAAAGGTCTTGTTTTTGCGTTTTTTCAAGCAGCATTAGCTCCTCTCCTCTCCTGGCCATGCTACTCCGCAGAGGAAACTGTGGATAATTTCAAAGGCATTGGTGATAAAACATGGTAGCCCACTGTCTGAAACAAATGCGCTTGCACACACACACATTTAAATAAATAAAACCAAAGATCTCATTGGACACATCCAATGAAATAGTTGAAGTTACAGGGGCAGGCCCATCGTCTTGAAGTCACTTTGCTTAAGTTAAATAAGTCTAGTCTAGTCAGTGTCTCCTAGGAACCTTCTGTGCATTGCCATTGAGCAATACAGAAGAAAGGTAGGAAATAAATGTAATAATTAAAATTAAAATTGAAGTTGCTCTTTAAATCCTGAGCAGGGTTTTTTGATTATTTTCCCCAGAAAGGAAGTTAATGGAGAGGCACAACAGACATGTGCTGAGAGATTTTTGGGGCTTTTGTATACTGCTACTGTTTCTTTGCCTGTCTATGGTTCTCTGCCAGTATACAAATTACTAGTTCATTGGACAGCTGTTTCTTTTAAACTCACCACAGTGTCAAAAATGCAAGCATCTCTGATGGTTGCCAAAGTTTTATGAACTACAAACAACAAAAATAAATCCATCCATGATACAGATTCTGTGCACTTAAAAGGACACTGTCAACAATATAAAATTTAATCATTTTTTAATGCTAAAGTCTTGTTTTAAAAAGATGACTTTGCAAAATTTCTTTGCCCATCAGAAAAAAAGAAAAAAATGCCAATAAATGTAAGACACACCATCTTATTTAACAAATAAGGTCAATGCTGAAAATTGATCAAGTGCAGGCGTATAAGGAACCAAGTGTCAAGCCACCAGATTCATCTTCAGGTCAGAAAGACAGATCTTTTTTCTTTTCTGTTTAGACCATAAATGCATATACTACTAAACTGTGTTATGGTACGGTAATTTCAGAGGCTTATTTGAAAGGCTGCCTCAACAATTCCAGATATGCCATACTTTGGTATAAGAACTGGGATACATGAATAACACCAACACACTTGACAGTGTCCTTTTATCCCCACACCCACCCCAAACAAACATAAAATGCATGTTCAAATGGAAATTTCCAAAAGCTTGATGTATTATCAACAATTAAAACACAAGATGTATGCACATAGCTGTTTATATCAATGAGCACTACACCATTCCAAATATCTGCCCAACCACTCACAATAAACCTTCATGCTCTGTCTGGTGTTAGAATGCTCAAGAGTCAAAAGGCACACACAGACGTATCATGCTTTATAGGTTATACTGCACGCTTCTCTAAAATGTTTATGAAATCTATACACACAGAAGTAGAAGCAACTGACATACATACATAAAACAGAAGAATTCCCATGCATCACCTCACAAGCCAACTTCATGGAAGCACCCATTTCACCCATCATGCTAAAAAGCTTTTTGGTGGTGGTGGGGAGAAGAGTAAGTGATGCACCTTAACAGCAGTTTCCCTACAAGTAATTTTCATATCAATGCTGAGGTACATTTTAGTGTTTGTTTCAGGCGTAGGGGAACACATTTATATCAATTGCCTATAATCATACAGAGGAGCCAAGTAGATGTAGTGATGCCAAGAACTATGATGTTTTAACTCATTTAGTTTTTGCAGTCAAGTGAAAATTTGACGTTAGTGAAAATGTAGGCTGTAAACTGCATATTAAACACAATGCAAAAGGCAAACATAACTCATGAGGATAGCAAAGTAAACAGCACAATTCAGCTTATGAATATACACCAGAGAGTACAAAATAAATATGAAAATGAAGATATAAAAACTGGGATCTTAACAAAATTAACTGGGACACATGCTTGAGAAAGGCCTGTAGTGTTAACACTGCCCCTTAAGTACTGTCCACAAACACAACAGAGGGCAGCTACAAGTAATTATATTAGATGAATCAGACAAGTGTACCACTAGCCAAGCATTCAGTAAGATTTTCTTTGATTACTGGTTTATAAGGCACTAATTATGGTATTCCCTAATCCTGGGATAGGCAACTTGCTCAAGCTATGTCAGAATTTGCATTGGCAAACACATCTTTAAATTTAAGTCTGGAGCAGTGACAATATGATGGAAAGTTATTTTCAAGTGTAAGCCGCTAATTCCAAGATTTTCAACTCAACAGTTGCTTAGCCCAATTCCAAGTTCATGCAAGGGAAACACCATTTGCGATGCAATGCGATTCAATATACATGGCCATCATAAGCAACAGAATAAAGAGATGAATGACCCTCCCACGTAAAAATAATTAGTATTTGTGAAATTCAGATAACACCCCAGGTGTTAGCAGCTGGATGATGTTCTGAAAGAAGCCTGAAGTTCAGTGTAGAAGTCACTTCACAGAACAAGGGTGGAGAACTCCATGTCGATAGGCCAGTAACTTCCCTTTCATGGAGACTCTTATACTCTTCTGGACCTAATGGGTCCTTTTGGTCTGGACCCATTAGAGATGGATATCTGGCTTCACTGGCTTCCCAGAAAGATGAAGGTAGAATGGGACAGAAAGTATACTTATTACATTTCCTTGCCAAAAGGACACTTATTCTTGGAGCTGCTGCTTACTCATTGGAAAACATTTATGAAATAGGTGTGCAGAGGGTAGGGGAGAATGTGCACATCTTCAGGAATAGTTCGTGTGAGAATGTGCATTTGCCAGCATGAACACATGCATGTATCATTCAGGTGCAGCTCACCTATTTAAATTAGCTGTGCATACCCAGAACAAAATAAAAAAGTTCCCCACCCTTGTTCTACCTAATGAATGAGCATGGGAAACAGATGATGGGACATATCTTCAAATGTACCTTCCATCAATTTCAGTCAGTGTTGTATATATAAAATCTTAAGATGGCTTCAGAATCTGTGGGAAAACTTTCTACTCAAAAACATTCTGTTCTAGTCAGAAGCCTGAGATTTAGACCAACAGCACAGAATGGCTCCTACTAGAACTTATACACTGTCAACTTCAAGTAACCTGCACTATGGTTGAGGAAAAGTTCTCCAGTTACAAATGAAATAGTCCTCTACAGGCTTCCCTAATCATGTTAGTACCCAGTACCTAATTTCCTAATCAAGGCCTTCACAAGGCCTGCACAAGCTCTGTGGTTTGGAATGCTGAATGTAATCTGTAATTTGAAAAGAGCAGAATGTCACTGATTCTTTCTGAATACCTTATTTCCATCTGGGTTGTGGATTACAGTGGTTTGGGGCTCCTGAGTGAGAACAAAATAGAGAGAAAAAACAGTTCTCAGTAAATAGATTTTTCATTAGTGAGAGGGACAATGAGAAGAACCAGATGACAAGTGCTAAGCACCGACAAGAGCTAAAGCAATGTTAGCTTCTGCCAGAGGATGAAACTGGCAATCCAGCAAGAAAGGCCACCAAATCTACTGTAGCAGCATGCAAAGACCTTATTCATGGTTAACACACATGCAGGGTTTTAAAGCTCTGAAGATCTAGAGAGGCACTGACTCTTTTACGATGTCCCAAATCATGTGGCTTGTTGCATTTTTATCCAATTTCCACTTTTAAGTCTATGGGGGAAAGTAAGGTTCCCTATGTTAATTAAGTGATTGTGATGCACCCTACAAGGTAAAGAGGCACTACAGGTGGCTAAGCAGCTTCACAACAATTCTATATCCTATGTGTGAAGTGCTGAAAGATGTTAACTGCTTGGGATCCATTTCAGAAATTAACAGCAACAATGGAAAAAGATATAATTCAGAATTTAAACCCCTCCTTCTATCTACAAAAATATCTGTAGAGTTTGTGGCTCAGGGGCACACATTTTCATTCAAGAATTGAATTTTCATTCAAGAACTGAACACACACACACACACACACACACACACATTCATTCATGCATGCAAGAAATTGGGGAAGTACTTGGTGTCAGAATCTATCAAGCAAGTACTTTTAGAACATGTATGGAATATAAATTAAACTGCACAAATATGGGGACATAGGTATCATTTCTTCATCTAGGCTTAGTAAAAAATGGATGGTGGGATGCATCTGATAATCTGGTAATTAAGTGGCAGGATTTAATTCTGAGACATTGCTGTGCAGCCCTGAGAAATCAGAGTAAGTAACAGCAGCAAGGTTACTATATAAATAGCCTGACTCAGTAGTTATACATTCCCTGCCGAGGCTATTATGAAGTAATGACTCCTATGTATTAAAGGATAGCAGTGGTAAATAACAAGCTTTAGAGCTAGATGCCTCTTGATCCCAGTAACTGAAATCTTGAAATGTCCTGCTGAGAAATTAGAGAATGAGAATCTGAATAAGGTCTACTCAGTTGTTGCCTAGCAATAATCTTATTAGCTCTCCTTGACTCAAGTTATTATTTTTTGAAAGGAAGACATTTTGTTTAAGCCTCATTTATAAATACCAAAATAGTCGTTGACCGAATTGCTAAGACGAGCACAAAAGCAATTCTATTCACTTTCTAATATGGCATGCAAAGGAACTCGGCTACAGCTACCAATGCTACTGCACTAGTACATCCATTTTCTATGTCACATTGGCTAATTAGAAACAACATACACTTTCACAATGAACTGGCTCTTGAAAACAGACCAAAAACCAATGCCCAGTTCCCAAGAAAAAAAGCACTTCAAATTTTTAGAAAGCAAACGAGTAAAAAAAAAAGGGAAAGGCAAGAGAAAGAGAGAGAGCGCGCAAATGGAACTCAAAAGCAAGTTAAAGGAAAAAGCCAGGTATACCAGCGCTGGGGTAGGAATATTTTCTTTGGGGCTGGTTACTACGTTGGTTTTGTTGTTTATCTGTAGGTATGCAGAAAACAGAAACAAACAAGCCTTAGACCTCTCATAGCAGATATATATATCTATATCTTCTTATATAGAATACCTATACACAGATATAGATATGGAGATAAAGATTGACAGAGGAATGAATTTATAAAATCAAAAGGAATAATGACAACAGATTTAGTTAAAAAAAAACCTATAGCAGCTTCTCCCAATGCAATTCAAAAATATGCTAGGAGCTGCTGCATAGACTATGGTTCAGCTGTGTTACTAGATTTCTTAAAAGTAGCCAAAACCAGGCAATATGCAATTAATTCAGGCTTAGAGAAAATAGGCCTACATTTCCAAAAATTTATTTGCCACCTCCCACATTTGGATATGATGCTATTGAATAAAGTGCATCCGCTTTGAGGTTAGCTTAGGAGTCAGCTCAATTTCAAGCTGCTATAATTAGTGCAGTGGAGTACTTCCATGTTACTGGTAAAATGAGTTCCATAGATACCCTTGGATATTTTCATTGAAATACATTTAGTATTTCACATAAAGCATATGCATTCCATTTGTCATAAAAATGTCATCCAGAGTTCACTATATAGAGGCAGGATATAAATGTTACAAATTAATGATTACACTGTTTTGAAAACACTCTTGTATTCATGTTAAGGCTGAACACAATTTAAGATATTTGCAACATGTAGCACAATGCAAGATACTTCTCTTTCTCCAGACACAACAGGAATTCACTTAAACTGGACCACAAAATATATATTCAGCAGAATTCTAAATTCTGTAACTTACAGCTCTTGTTTTCCATTGCATGCCCCTTTATAAAGTCAGTGCAGAAAGAAGGACCAGTGATGCCTAAAACAACTATTGTAGGCAGGCCTTGGTTTGTCTAATAGAGTCACACCATTTGTAGCTTTTGTATTTTGTGAAGTGTGTGTAAAGGTGATTTAAATAGAGTAGGGGATACTGTAATGTTAAGACCCCTTCTGCTTGATTTTCCTATAGACAAGTTAATTTCTCAGTCTAATTTACATCATGAGGGGTTATTGAACCGGGTGAGAACTATACATCCATAAATGCCATAGAAAACCTAATTACATAGTTTCCTATCCCCCAAAAATATTTCAGTTCTTGTATGCATTTTAAGAACTCATCCACACTTATCTATCAGGTATTTTAGGTGCCATGGAAATAAGTTAAATGTTTAAAAACTTGGTGCAGGGTTTTTCTTAAAAATGTGGTAAAATGTAATTATAACTTGAACACTGGCATAAAAAGTACAACTTTATAAAAATAAGATAGAAAGTTTAGCTGATCAGCAATACAGAATATTTACTGCTCCACTAACATAAGAATGGTGAAGATAAAGCATTACACGTGAAAGAAAAACAAGAATGGAAATACGACTTTTTTTTGCTAAGAATTTTAAAACATCTGCATAATATTGGCTATCTTTAAAAAACCTATCACAAATATTTATATATATATATGTGTGTGTGTGTGTGTGTGTGTATAAAATTCCTATTGTTATGTGGTGATCTAATGGTCTCCCATTCAGATTACAGTAAATATTGTTCTAGAGTAGCCTTCCCCAACTTGGTGCTCTCAGATGTGTTAGACTACCACTCCCAATCAGCATCAGCAACATTGAGATAATGGGAGTTGTACTCTGGAGAATATCAGGTTGAGGAGGGCTGTTCCAGCTTTACTGGCTTCTAAAATTGTGTACAAACCTATAAAAGTAAGGGTGCTGGTGGGATATATTCTGTCATATCTTTAAAAAGCTTGGTTGCATTTTTTAATTAAATGACACCACTTGGAAATGCTGAAGGCTTTAACAGAGGTGAAGGATGCATGTCACTGCTTGAACACACAACCAAGATTCAGATTCTAATTCTAATCCAAACTGTAAACATGTGGGAGTTACCCAGGGAACACACAGGACAGCCTTAAGCAATAAGATGTCACCAGCTTCATCTTCAAAATGCAGCAATCAGTGATTGCAGGCCTGGTGAAAGGTATGTGCATGACTTAGCACAGAACAGACTGGGACAAAGTAACATGTTGCACTATCAGCAGGAGAACAATGAAGGCTCCATACACTTAAGTTTCCATACTAACAGGGATAACTATTATGGTAATAAAAGCAAATAGGATCCTTCATCATTTGTTTATTCCTAGTGTGGCAACATTCTATATAAGCTTTGATGCCTTAGGCCAGTGGTGGCAAACCTGTGGCATGTGTGCTGCAGCGAGCACGCAGAGCCCTCGCTGTCGGCACACAAGCCAAGTTGCCCCACCATCACCCCAGCAGCTGAGCATTGGATAACAGCACACACAGGGGCCATGCACATGCTCAGAAAGGAGTAGTGGCGCCAGATGATGATGTCACGAGCTGTGACTCATTAGCCGTGATTCATCTGAGCTTTCGCATGGCCGGTCAGTGCACAGCCAAGGATATATATATATATTTGCTTGGACTGGCTGTGCGTTTTAATACATTCGTTTTTATTAACACAAGATTTTAGCTTTGAGTTTTGAATATCAGCATGCATACAACAGCAAAGATCAAATTAATTGTGCAAAAGCACACCAAACTTTTACCATTCAATAAAAAGCTGTTTGTATCATTGAAAGCTCTGTTATTGTGTTTTAGTTTTAAGACAAAAGATGTTAATGTATAACCTCAGTATTCAGGTTTTATAGCAGTATTGGCACTTTGCAATAAGTAAGTGGGTTTTGGGTTGCAGTTTGGGCACTCGGTCTCTAAAAGGTTCGCCATCACTGCCCTAGACTGTAGTCCATTACATAGACTACAACGGGTGAAGCCATCCTGTGGTTCCCAGACAGATCTGGGGTTCCATAAGATGCTGTAGATTTCCCCTTCTGTGCCTGTAAGGAGAGCTATGGGTGCAGAGGAAAGGATTTGATCAGGGATCTTCCCTCCATTCCTCCCAACTGTCATGGAAGTATTTGTAGAAAGGGGGAATGCTGTTGGGTGGGAAGGAAGGAGAAGATGCCAGGATCCACAGAATTCTAAAGCCTCTATTCCCACCCTCAAGTCAAAGAAGATAAGCAAGCTAGAAATACTTTTAGAATTTTAGAATACTTTTAATGGAGGGATGGCAGGTGAAAACTCCTTCATTGTTCCTCCCACCTTGCTTGGTTCCAGCTGGCAAGAATTAGCATAGATGGGAGTCTCCAGCCTCCAAGCCCTTGATCTGTGCAGAGACCATCCAATATGATAACACTCTAAGTTACATTTGTGTACTTGTGCATCTAGAAGCACCAGTGCTGCGTATGACTAGCCTGAGCAAAAAATACTTTTGAAACTCAGGTGCTTTGTGTTGTATTTGTAGGGGTACGATGGTGTACACCTTCACAGATGTATATTTTTGAAATAGATGCTATGAGAGGTGCCATCCTTCCTCAAGAACCACCATACCTCATTAGCGAAGCACTTATTCTCTCACTGAGCATTTCTGAGATTAAATTTTGAATACCATGAAGAGTTTGAGCCAAAAAATGTACTATGCAATAACAAGAAAAATGACTCACTTTCTAAAGCAAAAGCAAATACAAGCAAAATAAAATAATTGAATACAAATTGGAGCACTACAGGAGCAACATTCTCAAAATAGAAGAAAAAGAAAGTGACCACATACAAAGAGAAAAAAGATGGAAAGACTGAGCAGGAATCAAATATTAAGTATCACTCAAGCAACTTTCATCTCTGAAAGAACATCCCTCTTTCACAGGATGACTCAAAACATTTATTTATGCATCTCTGAGGTGGATACCCTTTGAAAATGACACAAAAGTTAACAGTTCTTTCCACAGTTCTTTCCATATGGGGCTCACATAATCACACAGGGACAACTCACAAAGTGTTTTGAGAAATCCATTGAAGTATTGTCCTTAGTAACAATGGGAAGAATTACCAGCAGTAAATGTCACTTAGGATCAAGCTGTGTGTGAAGAATTAACACATATGATTTAAATTTAAGGAGACACAATGAAAAGGAGGCAAGTAGGATTTGTGGTACAGGAAAAGGGTTTTTTGTTTTGTTTTTTACTCTTTCCTTGCCACCCTGACAAAAACTGCCTGCTCATCTGCAATGGGGAAAGGAAAGTCTGATTAGCCGAAAAGGAAGCAGATGGGGGCAAATGCTAGTGGTCACTGGATTGTTACTAGAATTATTAGAGCGCTTGCTATAGAAATATTTCCAAACTAAAAGGATTTTTTTGCATATATACTGTGCAGCAGTTCTACTGCAGACAAAAACTTTGTGCTTTTCTTGAAGCTCACCATATATAATTTGGCAAGTCTTACAACTGGCTGCATCTTATTTGTTTTTGAGTAAGGTAAACCATTCTAAAATATTTGGTGGCCAAGACCATTTTCCATTTTCAAAGAAAAATGCACATATGTACAGAGTAAACAGGTGCACAATATTATTTCTTTCAAAAGCATTAGCAAGCTTGGTAAATTAGATAAAATGTGTGTTGAAAAGTAATCCTCTCTTTCAACAGATCCCAGTGATTTTAATTAAATTTGAGCAGGATAAAAATAAATAATTTAATAGGACTGAAACTTTTATGCATAGCTATGGTAAGTACACACACTTTACAAATGGGAATTTGATTAAGTTTTCTTAAACCTTAACAATTTACTTCTGCATAGCTGGGCATAATTTTATTTTTTTTACTTTTTCTCTATCTTCAAGAAAATGCCTGTGTGCAGAATAAATTCTCCCCCCCCCCTTCCTTGCATGAGGGCAAGGAATACTGAGCTAGACTTTTGTGGGGACCCAGCACAAAAAAAATTATGTTCCAATGGCAGAAAGTTAGGAAAGATAGGGCTTTGGAGGGCCATTACTCATCTTACCAAAATGAAAGATCAGCATCAGCAAAAATAGCAGATGGTGACTATTTGGAGTGTCCGGGATTGTTGAAGCTTAATAATGGCTAAGTGTGCACTGGGTGTCAAAGGATGGGATTATATGCAATGAAAATAGCTTTCAGGGCAAACGAGCACTTAGGCGATGCCTTATGCTTATTACTTGGCCAGATGTAACCTGTACAGTGATTTTTCACTAGCACTTTGTTTTGTTTTGCCTTTTTTTGTTGTTCTGGGTTGGCTCTCATATCAATAGCTATACTGCTATGAATCTGGATCTCTGGCCCTAACAACTAGCCACTTAAAATAATTGTATTATTCAGCATCAGAAATATGAGAACTAAAAAGAAGAAAGGTAAAAAGCAGACTTTCAAAAGTGTTTACTCTTTTTAAAATGGGAAAATAGTGATATTATTAATAAATAAAGCATCTGGTACTTGCAGTAGTATACAAGTTTGTGTTTGTAACAACAATGACCAAATGTTATTATTTGTTGTAAATATCTGTAAGAAATGGACACTAGCTCCAGAAATACTGAACTGTTGAAATATTTGAAACTAGAGTTGTATCACTAGGTTACCTTTTTCAAAATTTCACCTGCTTTAAATATAAGGAAATAATAGCAAATATATGAAAGGCGATCAAATAACAGTGTTACTGCAGTAAAGTAGTTAAACGGGCCAGTGTTACATCTGCTTTGCACTGATATTCATACACTCTATGACCTTGCTGTGGAAGAATTGCAAAAGGTTAATTCAGAGTGTTATGTAACATTAAACTGATGCAGAAGTCACAAGCCTGCCATTTTAAAATCTTGCAGCTTCTTGTGTTATGTTAGCAGATCCAAATACAACTATTTCATCTCTAAGTGTGAACGTTTCATAGGAAGAAAAATCTGGCAGATAAAAATCCTCACCATCATTTGAACACTCGAACTTGACTTCCTTTTCTGATTTGACCAGTCAGAGAGAAAGGAAAAGAAGAAAATATGACTGGTTGGATTTGAAATAATAATGCATGGAGAACAGTATATTCTTTGTCTGTCTGTTTCAAAAAGGCCTAATATGCAAGAAGGGAAGAAATACTGTGGATGGAAATAGGATATCCTGCATGAGAAGAATGGTGAAAACAAACACTTCTACACTGCTACGATATACATTTCCCAACAACCACCATTCTGTATGATTACAAACACAACAGAGAATGTAGTGCTAGCAAAATGCCGGTCAACAGCTGCCATCAGCATTACTTTTTAAACCTGGGGTGCACAACCTGTGGCTTGATGGCTGCATGTGCCCTGCAAGGGTGCCCTGACTCACCATCACCAATTTCTCCTTTGTCTGTACTTCTGACTCCCTCCCCTAGAGATCCTAACATAGATGGTCAGCATGCAGCAGCAACAGAAGAGCCATCTGTATCAAGGGTCATGGGGTGCATCTGTGTGTGTGTGTGTGTGTGTGTGTGTGTGTGTGTGTGTGTATTGCACATGGCTGTTTAAGTATGCACACATGTGCGTGTGTGTGCATGCATGGGGGCCCTGAGCCAGCATTACATGCAGCCTTGGGGCCAAAAAGGTTGTAAACCCATGGTTTAAACAGATTCATGTTGACAGAGACAATTACAGACCTGCAAAGGAAAATGACATTGAATGAAACAACCTCTTTCACTTGGAGTATGTTTCAGATACTTTAAGTTTCGCTTTAAATGAAATTACCTAACAGTGACCAGTACAATCAGCCATTTTATTCCACTGGAAAGAAGTAGGTGAGCATCAAACACCATCCTTTTGTATAGTTCCCAAATAACACAAGTTGAATTCTGACATAGTTTCCAAGGGTGGTAATGGAGAACAGAATAGGATACAAGTCCTGTGCTTCTCTGGCATGTCAAATAATATTCTAAAATAGGTCCAACTAATCTTTGGATGTATGCCGGGTCCATTGGAGAATCATGTTGCCTCTGACTGATATTGATCTAGATTTGTATGGCCTGGGTTACTAGGGTACTTATACATGAAATATGAAAGAGTAAACATATCAAAAGTCCAAGAGGAATATACAGTGAATTAGACATGTAAAGCAAATATATTTAAGAAAACAAACTGAAAGGTTAAAAGCTGAGGTCAAAAACACACTCCAATGAAATCTAGCAAAACAGAAGAAAAAGAAGTTACATTTTCTCATGATCACGGAAATGTTTTATTTAATTCTTCTCATAAAATGAAATTAATTTTCTTACATGTGTTTCAAAATATTTATCTAGTGCATTAGACCTGAAAAGCATTTCTCACCCTACAGAGTTCTTAAGCCATACATTTAGAAATTCTTTATCTTATATGAAAACTGCAAACTTTTTTGTTTCATACAAAAAATCTTATTTAAACTGAACTAGTTACCAGAGCTCTTAAATTCATTGACTTCTACCAAAACACACTGACTACTTCTGACAGAATATAGGTAAAAGTTTGCTAACACTTGTGGCAATATTCTCACAATTTGAATGTCATGAACTTAACGGAGCTACCATTCAAAAAGGCTGTTTCATGATAATCTAATTTAAATTTATTCAAGTGTGTGAGAATGTGTGTGTTAAAAAAAACCCTAATAAATATTAAAGTGCAAAACAAAATTGTGAACATCACAAGGTAATTAAAAGAGAATGAGACATATTGTTAGATGTCATTATTTGTAGCCTACCTTCACTCCATCAGGTTTCTTCAGTAAACTCTTGGCTGCTACAAATTGAAAGGAAAAACCAGTGTCAGATGACAATTCAGCAGCAATGAAACAAGTATTCTTCTGATATTTTGTACATTCATCATTTCAGGTGTCAGTCTCAAATATTAACATACCATTACCTATTAATATACCAACAATATATGCTGCTGTTCTGTAACTTGTGATACTTTTGGCTTTGTTTTGTACACTTTAGCTTTTGTAAATGGTAGGTACATTTTAGAAAAGTAGCAAGGTTTTATTTCTATATAGAATTAAACGGGCACATTACATATTATTGGCTAGAGGATCTGTTTAAGAGTATTTGTGTGTGTTTGCAGACACACAAAGGTATTGGAGTAAGTAAGTCCAATTCTGGAAAATATACAGTTTACATCTACAGTACTTTTACAACTATTTTGGTAAACTAAAGAAAAGGCAGATTTTTAGTTGCTGAGTTGTTTATAACAATATATTTGATAGAAAGATGAATAAAGCTAAACTGCTCCTATCAGCATCTAAGTTGCAGCACTGATTTTATTGGGCCAGGGATCAGCTTCCATAAGTCAACAGACAAATATAATGTTATGTCTGTGGTTAAAAAGAGTGTGGTGGACTATGCTTAGTCATACCAAAACAAAAATTAAAAAACTTAAGCAATAAAACAATAAGTTTAAAAAACTTAAAGGCACTGTTAAGATAGTGCCAATCCATTTTTGCTGGCTTTCTCACAAATCAGCAAACTCAAACCAGATTAAGCTAGGTGTACCCAAGATCCATGTATTGTATATAATTCCTGTTTAGATCAAGGAAGGATGTGCTTAATTGATCTGAGCAATTCGGCAGTAAAAGTGGGTGCTAAAATCAAAGAGAGACTAACATAACATTTACGGCGCAATCCTTTGCCCTCCTGGGTTGACATCACCTGGGGGGCTTCAGGTTTATTCAGAGTCCCACCTCCAAGGTCCTGTGACCTCCGTGTTGTGCCTCTTAAAGCCAAACTCCTATCTGACCCTTCATCCCTGGAACAGACAGAACTGTGCCAGCTGCCTCTCCAAGCTTACAAACTGGTGCCAGAAAGAAAGAAAAGTAGTGTGCCAGGGGACGGGGAGTGGAGATGACCAATGGATTATGTCACATCCAAATGGTGCCTCAGCCTTCTGCCTTTTCTATCCATGGTGCTCCATCTAGACAGCTGAAAATGGCCATCTAAATGAATTTCAGGGTTGCATAGATCACTGCTGACACGCCTCACACCCTGAGCTGGATGAACACAAGCCCCCAAGTTCAGAGGCCTACCTGCATCAGGCACAGGGCAACAGGAATGCACCCTTGGTGACAGATCACTCTCAATGATTTTGGTGAAACCTCAGCTACTATTTGGTCAATAGTTCCTTGAAAGTAAGCACCACTGAAGTTAGTGGGACACCTTTTCATACATATGACCAGGCTGGAAGATTTTTTATGAATATTTTTTATGGATTGTACCCTTTTTTTTTAGAAAGAAATCCATACTTACGATTCTGTAGAGATGCAGAAAAATACTTTACTTCAATCTTCATTTCTAATTGTATTTTTCTACCGTATTTGTATCATAGTATGTGATATATGTGGCTATTCGTAGGCCATGGCAACCTGCTGTGAAGCTGTGGTGCACATGTGTCCACCAATTTGAACATAACATTTGTGCAAGAATGTGAGGTTTGTTTAACCCTTACATGACCTAGGGTCTGTTTTAGGGTTGTGTAGAGTAAGGATTTTTAATCATGTTAATTCAACTATTGCAAAACTTTGTAGTATGTTGATTGATGCCATTATACTATACCTTTTATTTAAAATCTGATAGTGATAGTTGAAAACAAATAATATTCTAAATTATCAATTGATTAAGAAATGTAAATTTGGCAAGATATTTTGTAAAGACAGATCTCAAATTATATTATCCAGGGATTTGCAACTGATTCCTTCCAAATGTTTTGGATTATAAATCCCACAATCACGGACCATTAGCTATGCTGGCTTCCATTTATGGGAGTTGGATTCCAAAACATATGGAGTCAGCAGATTGCCTATCAATACAAATATAAGAATCTTGGTACAAATAAGAAGTGAATTGTTCATGCAGCTAATTTGTTCTGCTCTGAACAGGTAAGCGGGAAGCAGAGACCTACTGAAATACTTTTCAGATCAGAATCTTGCCCGTGTTGATGTGGGAAGCATTGCACATACAATGTAATGCTGCCATTGGCAGTATATCTGAATATGCCTACATGAGCAACTTGAAAATTCCTTTTTCAACGCATATAATCCATGTCTGGAGGGAAAATGATATGCAAATTGTACACACATGTTGTATGCATTATTAATGAAGTGGCGGAGTGAGTTCTACAAGTGCCTCTGTTTCAACTATAGAATCGCATGATCCTTATTCATAGAAGTGATCATAGTCTTATAATTGTACTACTTAAATTTCAATGAATAATCCTTCCTCTTGAGAAGGAAGTGTCAACCCAGCTTTCAATAGTTAACTCTGAATTGCGCCTGAAATAATATATTATCCTTGCAATGTCACAGTTAAGAGCACCATTCATGGAATTGTGCTACAGCAGCAATCAGTAAATCACACACTTTTAAACATTAAAAATGACAACTTTACTAATAACTAAGTTTGGTGAATGTGTGGCATTTCAACGTGGATGTAATGATCACATGTTGGATTGGGTTGTCATTATTCTTTGGGTTCTATTTCATTGTATGTCAACAAAAATACTATGATAAAAACAAATTCTGAACTCACCTCCTCTGCTGAAAAAGCTACAATTGATCCAAAGCAATGTTAAGCCTTCTCCATCCAAACACAATTCAAACTCCAGACTCAGCTATGATAATAACTGGGCTGGTAATTTGGTTTGCCACTTGTTTTACAGATGCATTTATCAGATCCCTACCACATTTTAGTAGATATGAGCTAAGTACCGCTCTTCTGCTATGTGTTGAATCTAGTAACTAGCTTTATCTACAGTTCCCTGTTACATCTAAAGCAGGAAATGGTGGCAAAATATCAGTTAACTAAGAAAGGTCTTCAACCAGGTAAAGGCCACAATTTAAGATCCCAGTTAGTGAAAAGTGACTTTGAACCACAGTATATCCAGATATAATGGGAAATTGTAGTTAAGCTACATAGGGCCAGCATGCTGAAGGAAGAGGACATTGAAATGGAGTAGTCATCACAATGTTTGTTCCTAGTTATGGTTTAACAAGCAGAGAAGATGAACACCATAACTGAGCTACAACTCTCATCCTAAGCTACCCCACATAGTTTGTTAGTTTGGCAATGAAAAGGCATTGGAGGGAAATTATGATATTGAAACATACATAGCAGAATTTATATTTGGTGTACAATATTCCTTCACTTGCTCATTTTGACAATGGTGCCAGAAATTGACATGGCTATATTTAGGCACCTTTTTAGAAGTATCAAGGGCATTCTTAAAAATTTTCCACTCTTAAATCTGAAGCAGAAACACATTTACCGTAATTCCAGTGAAATTACCATGAATGACTTGTTTCACACCACAATAGTTTCAATTATTTCCAGTTACATCAAGAATGAAAAAATTGGCTTGCATTTGTACCAATTTTTCTATAATCAAAAGGTCAGAATTTCAAATAAGGTTTTACTAATAGATACATAATCAAACCCAAAGAAATGGCACTGAGGCTGGAACTGGAAGTCATGGGAGCCACATGTCTGCTGTGACAAGCAGCACCCCCAAGTTTCCTCATCCGCTATCCACGGTGACGTTCACTACATGGGACATGATGTCACCCCATTCTCATTTCATGGTAAGCCACTGTGTGGTGCTCTCGTGTGTATTGGCCACAATTTTGAATATGTGAAGTGTCTTGCTGTGTTATGTGAACCTGGACATTGTTAGTCATTTGAGGGTTAAGCAACCCTTAATGAACTTACAATAACCCAGAGATTTCCTTGCCCCCACAAGCTGCAGCCACGGCAATGGAGCAGGGGATGGGAAATTCACAGTGTGGTAATGTCACACGACTCCTATAATGTCTAGTTCCACCCTGAGAAGCAAACAAAACAAAACAAAGCAGTAGCAACAGTGCAGGGGTGGGAGGACAACAACAGGTGATTTGGGACAGGCAGAATGTTGCTTAGGAGATTGAAGAAAAAAAAAAATCTTTCAGCTCCAAGGGGCTTACCTCACAAGAAACATACATTCCATATTACAGGAAGAACAAAAAGGGGGAAAAAATGAAACACTTTGATAAGTACGTTGTTATGGACAAGTTACTCAAAAAGGCAAGCAGTGAAACAAAAATTTAATGAATAAATTAAAATTAGATGACCTTACATTGGTTGACACATTTTTCTGTAATTAACCACATCAGGCAAGTGCCATGCCAAGACACTCAAAAAGAAGGCAACAAATAGAATTTATGATTTATGAATGAATGGATTAATAAATCAAAATTATTCTTTATTTTTGTTAAATAAGGTGTAAAAGATTAAACCAGAGTATGAAACTGTCAGTAGATAAAGGAGACAGAACAGTTAATATCAAAGAGCTAATCAGATATGTTTTTAAATTCTTAAATTATTCTGAAGGTAACTCAGTTTGAGATTTCTAGTACTATGTTGAAATGGAGGAAAGGATGCAGTTTCATCAAAGCTTCATTGGAATTTTTGTCTCTCCTCCACCTCCTGAACTTTTTTTTTCAAGAATTGCTGCAAAAAGGTCTAGAATTGCCCATGTGAACAGTATAAGCAACACTGCTTTCAGTCTAACATGCTTCAGTTGCCTATAATGACATACGCATATAGCTTAATCTGTTTGGTTACAACAGTGCGATCACATCATCCTGTTCAGGGTCTACCAAATGATGGCGAGGTCATTTGAGAGGGTATGAAGCTATGCACCCAGCTCCCAGCATCAAGAGTACTGAAGCAGCCCCAGAAGAAAAACAGTGGATGTAAATACTCACTGTGAAAACCCACTAAAAGAAAAGCAGTGGCTATTCATAGTGGATGTGAATAGCCACAAAATTTGTAAGAGTAAGCCCCTCCCAAAAAGCCTCTACCTTTGAGGTAAAATAGAGCTTGCAGAATATTTAGTTTAGCACATTTTTTCCTTAGTCCTTAAACGAGTTTAGCAAGGTATTAACCATTATCCTAGCAGATCAGAGCATGTGACAAGATGAACACTTTTTAATGTCTGCTATTACTCATGTACTTAACTCACCCGTTAAATTTAAGGAGATTTGTAAGTACTTAGCTTTGAATTGACTGTGTCCTTGTGCAGCACTTGTAGCTTTTGTGGACAGAGAATGTTTGTATCTAGAGGAAAGCAATGGGCAGCTGTACACACTGAGATGCTGTAAGTCAATCTGCCAAATGTCAAGTATGCAGGATTTCCCTTCACAGCTATGTTGCCTCCAGGTGAAAAGCTATTGTTTAAAAATACAGGAAGCTGCCTTATATCTACGTCAGCTTTGTCTCCATTGGGAATGGAACACGTGACTCTCTAGACGCTGGTACACTGTAATTCTCTTCAGCTCTGGCCAGTAGAGCCACTGAAGGAAGATGAACAGAGATGCAGTCAATCAACATCTCAAAGGTCACCCATCCCCTATCCTGGTTTACACTTACTGAAAGAGGCCCTGTTTTAAACAGAGGTTTTTTGGAGCCTCACCTGCAAATGGGAACGACAGAACCAGACCTTTCCGCATGTGGAAGCATGTCGTCTGACACTGAGCTATAGTCAATTTGCAAAGTGGAGCTCTGCTATGTCATACCCAAGGTCTAACCAGCATTCTGCTTTCCACAGAGGCCAGCTCTGGCCAGCTCATAATGGAATTTTGAGGTCAAAACCTTTGTCCTGCTGTTGCTTTCCAGCAACTGGTCTTCAGGGCCTCTGGTGCTCCTATCTTTCCAGTCTTTATGCCTAATAGGCATTGATAGACCTGCCCTCCATGAATTTGTCTAATCCCCTTTTAAAGTCATCTAAGCTAGTGGCCATCTGGTGTGTTATTACATGTCTGGAGTCTACTAACCATCTATTTCACAATCTATTATTATGAGAGAGGAAGAAACCATCTCTCCATCAACTTATGAAATCCTATGCACGACTGCTCAAAAATAATTCCTATTAGCTGAATAAAGCTTACTTTCATGGTGTAATCCTATCTAAATTTAGACAGAAAAAACTCCTGAAGCTCCCAGCATCCCGCAACTTAAAGCTTTAGCCTTTCCTCATAGGATACAAGTTACTCTTGCTAATTTTGGTTGCCCTTTGGCTCACATTGCACATACATAACATTTATATATAATAAACACACACACAATATCCTTTATGAGCGGAGGAGAGCACAACTGTGTCCAATATTTCAAATTCAGCTGTCCCATAGGTTTATGGAAGCTTATTATGATAACAATAGTTTCACTTTTGACCTCTTTCTGAATAAACCCTAATTTGGTTTTTGCAATGGCTAAATAATACTACTAATAAATAATACTAAATAAATAATACTATTTAAGTAATAATAATAATAATACACAATAAACTGCTTTCCCTGAGCTGCATACCACAACTCCAGTATCTTTTTCTTGGTTAGTAATTGTCAAGTTCTGACCCTTTCGGTGTATACCAGCAATAGTCACCTTGTGGGACCTATGATCTAAAGACGAAATACCTATATTTTCAATTATATTAATATTTACATTAAGTGTGAAATACGTGTATTTAGATTTTACTTCATTTTCTTGTCTAGAGATCTCCTTTTGGCAGTTCTCTGCAATTTACCTGGGATATCAACAGACTGAATACTTCAGCATCATCCATCAGCCTGGCCATAACTTTGCTCCATAGGAATGAATGGTACCCAATTACTTGTGAGGCACAGTTCTACTAGAGTTATTACTCCAGTGTGACTCAAGCAATACGATAACGATAAAAAATAACAATAAGCCTGCTTCCAGATCCTGGTGACTCCAATGACTTCTTGCAAATCTTGTCTTCAGCATTGTGCATAGTCAGTCCAAGAACTGGCTTTTACATATGTGAATATTATTTGCATTTTCTGCTATTCTGTCAGCAATTATTGGAGTTTACAGTAAAAATTGTTATATTGTTCAACGAAGTTTGTTCTAAAACAAACACCAATTCCCCACCAATTTCAATTCTAAAGCAGTACAGGCAACAAAGAGCATACATATCAGAGTTCGTGAAATCTATGGACTTCCAGAGTTTGTTAGACTGCAATTTCCATTAGTCCTAGCCAGCACAGCTAATGGTGAGAAGGACGGTGAGAGTTACAGTGTACAACATCTGGAAGGTCACATGATCCCACCCCTGACATGTATACTGAAAGGGGTCCCTTTCAACAAATAGGAAAAGGAGAGCAAGAAGAAAAAAAGCTAGATGGCTGAGCAAATGAAGGGAATGTTTAAATTTTTAAAAAAATCATTTTCATCATGGATTTGTATTTGGTTTTCTTCATTAGATTTCCACTGTGTATCTTTTACAAAGTAAACTTTTATAAAAATGCACTCTGGGCTCAATTTTAACACAACTGAAAGACTAACAGTGTGTCTAAATCAGACTCCCCCAGCTTGAGAGTCAGCCTGAGATTCAGTTGCCTTCCAGGGTCTTAGCTGGAATTTTTTTCCAATACTTTTGCCTGAGAGCCTTCAAATGTAGATGACCAGGGTTAAATTTTATACCTTGGATGTAGCCATGCCATATTTTATGGTATGCTGATCTCAACTTGATGAATTAGCTCACTGATACAAAACAGAGGAGCTAGTTGTGAAAGAACTTTCAGATAATCAAGCTAAGAGTCGTAGCAGCCATAATTAAAGAGGATTTGAGCAGGCAATACATGACCAAAATGTCACCCAATCCACCAGAATGACTGGCTTGAGTATTCAAGAAAGCTTCTTTCTACAATGCATCCAACTGTTGCTACCAGGTAACTTAAATGGTCATAGACACAATGGCCATAGATGCAACAATAGCTTTTCAATCATATTTTCCATAAATTGTGACAACATGTTTTGTAATTATGCAGCCATTTGACAGAAAATGCTTCAATAAGGTCTTCTCAGAACGCATGCCTTTTTCATTTTTCCACACTTGCTTTCTAATCCAAAATAAAGCAAACTAGTATGATGAAAAGTGCCCTTTGAACTTTTTATACTTAACAGATACAACATGAAAGGGGGCAGGCATGATTTGGGAGGAAGGCTGGCTTCTACCCAGAGAGTGTTGGCTAGTGGGAAGTGAAGAAATACAATTTATAATGATAATGATAATAATAATGGCATTAATAGGGTAATTGCTATGAGTTTTCATATCACTCTAACTACACTTGCATAAAGCACAGCAAACAGATAATATATACTGTACCAAACAGTTTCAACATGGCATCTGAACACATCCATATCAGTACTATTTTACACCCAGGGAACAAAACCATGGGCTGCTAGGTATATCAATAACTATCAATATAGTGGTGTGAAAGTCACTAAACATACCTGAAAAATTTCTTGTAGCCAGCATAGTTGTCAAAATGGCACCCTGAAAACAAATCAATATAATAGTTTTATTTATGTATTTGTACCCCACTTCTCTACCAAAAATGGCACCAAAGGTGGCTTACAATTCCAATTAAAATATTAAAAATACAGTAAAGTGCAATAAAACATAATGATTACCAAAAATCTATTTAACAAGCCAATATACTCTATAGTGCATTTAATGATTAAAAAAAGCTTCTCCTTTTAATTTCCAAATACAGACATCTGGTGCTGGATAAGCTAAGGATTCTTAAATACCAATGTTCAAAGCAACACATGTGGATATATAATAACTAATACGGCCTTGTATATCTATTCATGAAGGATTTTAAGAGAGGGACCCTAAAATGTGTGAAGGACAAACTAGCTCAAGGAACAAAGGAACCATGATTTGAGGAGAACCATAAAAATACTGTAAGTTGTTCCAGACCATTTATGCTTTTCCTCTTATGTATTTTTAGTGCTCTGACAAAGTAAAATATACTGAATAAGGCAATTTTACTCTTTTCTAAATGCATATGTTTTCTTCCTTGAGAAACAAATGGTTTTTATACCCTATTTTACTGTACTGAAATAAAACTCTGCATTTATTATATTAATGTGGAGCATGTGTGTATTCACTTTCACTCTCACACTCACTCACAGAGAGGGGGAAGGGGAGAGAATGGGGTCTGCAACAGGAATCAAATAACAGACATGCAAGCAGACGGAGCTCCAGATGAATGAAGGCACCCTTATGCTTGAGAGCTCGTGCAAATACCATGGAACTGCTTCATCAAGGTTATTATTTTTAACTAGGGGAGCAAGGGCTAGAAAAGTGTTTTGTTGTTATTGTTTTATAGAGAGATACAGAGAAAACGTCAACACAAAAAGTACATTGGAGGTTTTTTGTATATCGCAAAGCAATACAAGCAAACATGGTTGTGTTGTGTTACCATTCCCAATTTGTATGACATAGCCAGGATTTGATTTGCGAATGGGCTTCCTCACCTATAGCAGCACAATACTTAAGGGAAAGAAGGGGGTTGATATTAGAGTAAACTGGCTACAGTCCACAAGAAAGTCATGTAAAACAGAGCAATTCCTCTCCCAGAAACCTGAACATTTTTCAACTAACACTAACTGTATGTTTTCAAATATTTTTCTTTTTAAGCAAGCATGAGACCGAGGAAAAACCTACCTTAAGTTTCCTTCTTGCATTGAATTTCTTCAGGCAATCGACAGTCTCCTGTCTGTGCATCATAGAAGCAACAGTAGAACGTTGCTGAAAGAAAAGAAAAGAGCAGGTGATTCAATGCATGCACTTATATCTACATTATTATTCAATATCATTCTTCACTAATGAATTTTTCTATAGCCACTTCTGAAATCACAGACCAGAATGAAAGTGTTTCTCTCCAACCATGCAAGTTCAACTGTACTGACCTTGTCTCCAAATATTGACACGATCACTGTCACTACTACTTCTACTACTAAATCCCTGTTGCTCCATTTTACACCCTTTGAGATGAGCAGAGATAAATACTGGGGTGTCTCAGTTATACCCTACCACTCTGCAGAGCATATCATCAAAAGTACTGGGATCTTTATTAGAATACATCTCTAAGAGAGACACATGTGTTTCCTGCATCAAACACTTGCAGTAATCAAACCTGTATTTTGATTAATGCAAATATCAGCTTATTTGCATTTACAGATGTTTTGTAATCTAATTAAAGATGATGAATATGGCAAATGATGAACAATGATTATAATAATTGTTGCCTGAACATTACTACAAAAATACTCCTCAAAACATTGATATTGCAAGATGGCCAATATGTTTATCATGATTATATGCTTCTTTTCTTCCACAGAGTCTGGGCAAGGCTTGGGCAGCCAAATTAACCATAATCTTTAAGGCTGAATGGGGACATTTCCAGTCCTAGTCTAACACTCTCTACCCCTCATGTGAAAGCTAGTGTGATGCAGTGGTCGACTAATGCAATGCATCCCTGCAGACTTGTTAGTAGGTCCTTTAGTTGCTATGAAAGGGACCATACAGTATGCTAAAGGGAGGGGTGGCATTTGAGTTCAGAAGGTGACCTAGATTTTCTAGTTCCTGACACAGAAGGAGCACTCATCAGATACACAGGGACAGGGAACAGACTGTAAACTGTGTATGTTATACAGAAGAGGTTTGCTGCAGTGGCCAGGGGGAAAGAAGATGGATAGCAGTGGCAACTTGTAACCATCAGTGGAGGTCACAGTGCAAAACTACAATTCACTGTAGGAAGTTCTTTTCACTGTCAGCTTGGCCTTTCTAAACCAAAGGATCTTACTGGAATTCAGCAGAAGGAGTTAATGAAGAGTGTAATGAGAACCATGCTGCATTCGGTCCATCTAGGGCCATCTAGTTTAGCATTTAGTTCCTACAGTGGTCAAGTCACTGCCTGGAACTATTCCAAAAATACAGCACAAGTACTGCAGCAAGTTCCTGCTCATGTTCCTCAGCAACTAGTTTACAGAACCATATGGTCTCTGATACTGGAAGTAACATATAGCTAGCGATAGTCTTTATCTCCATGAATTTGTCAAATCCCTTTTAAGACCACCCAAACTGACAGACCTCACTACATCTTGAGAATGTGAATTCCATAGGTTAAGTATAAAACTATGTGAAGAAATTCTTCCTTTTATCTGTCCTGTATCCCCCATCAATCAGCTTCATAGGATGACCCCTTTGGGTTCTAGTATTATGAGAGAGGGATAAAATGCCTACCTATCCACTGTCTCCATATCATGCATAATTTTGTACACCTTCACCACATCTCCTCTACATCGCTTTTATTAGAAACTAATTTATTGATAAAACCAGGGCTTTTTTTGTCATAGAATGCACCGGAATGGCATTCCGGCACCTTTTTTTGATGGGTTTTTCCAAGTGATTTTGAATCATCCAGTCAGGCATAGCAGGTCGGCGGCAAAAATCATTAAAATAGTGCATGCGGGCTGCTTGTGTGTCCGTGCTGATTGTGAGGGCACTGCTCGGCTGGGACTCTGCTCGGCTTGGGATGCTGCTGAGTTTGGGATTGGTCGTGTGGTCGCACGCTGAGTGCTTACTGCTGGCAGCGACCATTGTATGTTTATGTGTGTGTAGAGTGACTGGCAACGTGCAAAAGGTAAATAAGTTCTTTATTTCAAAAGAAGTTGGTGAATTGAAAATCTTTTTTAGTATAAAAGTGTGACCCCAAGACATGAGTTCTGGTACCGTTTTTTTGGTTTTTTTTTACAAAAAAAGCACTGGATAAAACAATTCATGTTCTTAGAAAGAGGTAAAAATCCGCTATGTGTGTGTGGGTAGTCTACCTTTATGAAATTTTATTTGCATCTCATAGTCCAAGATACAACTCTGTGCTGAGATTTAAAGCAATTATAGAAATCATTTAGCTGCACTGAGGGTAAAACAGAAGTGGTAGGTAGATGGGAAACAGATATCAGACTTCAAGTTATTTGCCCCTGAGCAGAGAAGGCTGTTAGTGAAGTAGAAGTTGCTTACACAAATCCATGGGTGTTTGAGGGCCTCTGATGCATTGATACGTTTGGCAGGGTTGATTGTAAGCATTTTGTTGATAAGGTCTTTGGCTTCTGGAGTCACCGTGTCCCATTCTGGTGAAGGAAACTAAAACAGCAACAACACATAACCACTGAACAGAAAATCACATAGGTAGAACCTAAAAAATAAAACCCCTAAACCTGAATTGAAACAGATAGAATCCAGGGGTGGGTGAACAAGCAAGATTCAAGATCACCAAGATTCTACAAAGACTGTCTGGCTGCTCATCTTGTGCTTAATTTTTGTGTTTGGGATCACCGCTCACTCTTCATGAACAAGAGATCTGAACACATCAAACAGCACTCTAACAGGAGGATTGTGTTATCCCTCCTCCCAACTTATGCAAATTTCCTCCATAGACATGGGGCTTCTTCAATCTACTGAGCAAGTTTGTGCAAATTTTAAAAACTGTGCAAATCAAACTGGGAATTTGGAACAAGATGAACATGAGCAAGTGTTTGATCATTTGTGAATATTTTCAGCAGATATATGCTCATGCTCATATTGGTTTCAAATGGGCTATGCACCCATGCTTTGCTAACAAAAATAAATTCTCATATGACTTGGACATTCTCATACAACTCCCACCTGTAAAAGAACACTTTGTGGTAACTGCTTTGGATCTCAGAGAGGTCAAAAATGGGGCATTCCAGCAGGCAGAGCAAGATGGGGAGAGGAGGTCAGGTTCAGCAGGTTCCTATGCCTTCCCTGTACCCCCTCCTTGTCTCTGCTATTATGTGAGCCAGACATTCTCAGAAGTTCACCTAGGTGACTATTTGTTCAGGAGGAGGAACAAGAGGTAAAATTAGCAATAGGGCACAAAATAGACTGAATACTGAGTGGATTAACTTAACAGAGAGAGAGAGAGAAACAGCAATGCCCAATCATATCTAGACTTTTTTAAAAGGGTGATATAAAGTGAACCACTAGAGTGAGCAGGTGAGAATAATCTCCTAAACATGTGCAAAGGCTACCCACTTCTGACTGGACTGTGGCATGCCACAGACTCCTGTGCATTACTGAAGGCAATCATGAGGACAAGCACCACACATGTTAAGTTTGCAAGACTAGCTGTGCTTTTGATAGCAGGCTTTTACTTTAATTGAAAGACAATTTGTATGAAGCAGTCCTCTGAGATGGATAATCTTGACAAGAAGAATAATCATGCCAGAGAATATACATTTCCCTATTTGGAAATACATTATGATGGATGTCATATTGGAATGAGCTTGACAAGAGAAAACTCATTTTGAAATGACTTTTGGCTGCTTCAGCTGCCAGATTCAAAAGATTCTGAGCTGTGAGAAAACATGATGGAAATACTGTAGGCGGCACTAGTTATCTACACGGTTCATTTCACAATTCTCTGTCCCAGACACACACATGCAAACTAGTAAGAAAAGCAAGAGAGATCACAGCTGTGGGAAACTGTAATCAATTTAACTGAAGAGCAAACGTGGGAAAATGTAGGCACACCAGTAAAGAGAAAGGTGTGTGTGGGGAGCACAGGTGTTTGAATTAGAAACAGGCACAATAAAGAATCATAGAGAACAAAACTGAGAGCAGCTCTTTACATCAGTCTTCCCCAAGCGGGTGCCAGTTCCCAGCATTCCTGATCATAGACCCTGTTGGCTGGGAGTGATGAAAGCTGGTCCAAACTTCTGGAGGAAGGCCAGTGTATGTGATCAGTACTGGTTTATTATTTTTAGAATGTATATCACGTTAAGGAACCATCTGATGTGGCTACCTGTAGCTCTCTAAATTTGAAGGATTACATGCATTTTATGGAAGGCGTAAGAAACACAGAGACTAGGATTTAGATGCCTAATTTTGGCTGTCTAAATGTTTTTATCTTTAACTCAAGGAGGAGAGGCTAAGGCAGCACCAGGATTCTTCAAAGGAACATGATACATCGCTCTTCCCCTCCACCAGACAACCCCCCTTCCCAGTCCTAGTTCAACCCTAGCCCAAACAAACCAGAAACTGAAGGACATATTACTTACATCATAGGCACCAGCCTTGATCTGTTGGTAGAGTCTGTGTTGATCCTCATCCCAGAATGGAGGGTATCCCACCAAAAGAATGTAAAGAATAACACCTTGGAAAATGCACAATAGCATTAAACTAAGTAATTAGTCAAAATAAGCATGCAAAAAATAGGGGAAGCATAATGTTTTTAGTTTGTTTTATTGTTCCTACTTAAAACCAGTTGCTTGGGTTGCCAATCTAGATCAGGGAAATGTGCTTAGGGCTGAAATCAACTCCCTGCTTCCAAATACAGATGATTTTCTTCCTTCCCTCAGTAGAACTATGAGCTGCACTGGCTACTAATGCACCACCTGTCTCACTATGAACCCATGACAGGAAGTTTAGACCACATAGCAAAAGCAGAAAAGGAAAAAAAGAGAATCTTCTAATCTGGATATCATAACTGACAGTTTACAAGTGAAAGCAGTAGGAAATGTCTCTCAGGGCAGGGAGGAAAGCACCAGATCAGTAGTCCAGTGGCAACTTGTATTGTGAGAAGAAACAATTCCAACGCTTGAATACTTGAACAGATGCATGTGGAAGAATTGGCGCGGGGGAGGGGTGTCCCTGAGCTACCTTTTCCCAATTTAGCCAAATCAGGAAGCCCTGCAGCCCTATTTTTTCCTATTTATTCCTTATTGTATACTTTGGAACAAAACCTAAACAGCAACAGTGAGTAGAGAAGAAAGTAAAAAGAAAAACAACTGTTACCGTTTCCTTACATAAGTTGTAAGGAAATCCCTAACCCTAAATACATGTATGTCATACATTCCTATGCATTTTATATGTAATGTTATTATTAAAATTATGCATAAATTTCTGCAAAAGCAGCCTTAATATATTTGTGTTTCCATAAATTATGGTTAAAGGCCATCCTTTCAAAAATTGCAATTTCATTAGGTCCTTCACCTATTGTATTTGTTTATCCTTCCAATGTTGTACTATTAGTTTTTTAACTGTTGAAAGGGCATGGAAAATCCATCTATCTTGACCTTCCATTAAATTCCAAAAAACAGATAATTAAGAGTATGCATATCATTAAATATTAAAGACCTTTCCATCATATGTATATCTGAATTTTTCCTCCCCAAATGAAGCAGTCACTGGGCACTGCTAGAACAGATGAATAAGAGAAGCGTTTGTTGCATCTGTTGGAGTGAGAAAGATAGCTGCTTTGGGCACACATTCCCAGAAGAGGAGGAAGAGCTGCAGGAGGGGGCCAGTGAAAGTGGGCCATGTCCAGACATTGCAATGAGAGAAATGGAGATGCTTGTCTCAAGGCCAGTCCTCCCAGGTGGGCCGGCAGTCCCCTAGGAATAACCAAGACGTACAGTTGGCAGGAGGGGACTTGGAACAGGGGAGTTTCTCAGAGACAGACAAAGCAGGCATGGCTCTTGACCCCATGATGCATCAGCAGCAGAGAAGGGCAGCCCAATTACAGGATTGGCATGCAGCAAGGAGGCCTGCTCATTTTCAGAAGGCCCTTCCTGAAGGGGTGGGGCCCAGGCACGTTTACGAGGAGAGTTTCTGGAGGTGAATACTACACTGAGTTCAACAAACTGTTCTGTGCATGCTCAGAGATTCATTCTGGTGGTTTGAGTGTCTGGGAAAGACTATGGCCAACAAACAACACTTTGAAAGAAAGGTCTGTGGCTTTGAATGTGCAAAGGGAGGAAATCTAGTTCATGACAGCACTGCACCTTCAACAACTGGCTGATTTAATTGGGACCTTATCAAAAAGTCTTGTTGCAGCTACCACAATTTTTGCTGTATCAGATTAACCCATTAACCTTTTGAAACAGATGAAAATGAAGCACTCAGTTGATTAGGTAAGATGGGGTGCTCCAATTCATCATTCCAATCTAGTTGGACCCTGTGCATCATATTTATTCACCCATAATATTTATTCACATAGATTGCAGGCCAACATAGCTGTTCATTCGCAACAATCACTTCCAATAACATAGGCAGCTCTGAAGCTGTGAAAGTGCCAGAGCCAAACCTAGATTCTAACAAATTACATATATTGCCATCCAGCCGTACTGGCAATTTCGATTAGCATGCAAGGCTGAAAATGGCAGAAAGCTATCATCAGGCCCTACAAGCTGATCCAAAGCAAAAATCAGCCTTTTCATTCAAGTCAACCAAACAAACATTTTCTTGCCAGTCTTTAAGTCCCGACTTCCACACAGAACTAATTTTGCATGTGAAACTAAGTCAAACTGCAGTTGACATGAAAATATGTGTCATGCCTCTCTAACTGGTTTAAGTATAGGAGAAACTGTATCTGGTTTGGAATAATGAGAACCCAAAGCAATCCATTTGGCAAGAAGATTCATACTTGAAGATTCCAGAACTGACCAGGGAGAAAAATATAGTCTAAGTGGAAAAGATCAATATCTACTACAAAGGAACAGATAAGCCTGGTTGTATAAGGAATGATCAGAGAAGCAAAATCCACCATCTTTAATGGAAGGTTACATTCTTTTCAAAGATATTCATGGTGGAGGAGAACATGTATGAAAAAAAAGCCCATTAAGTTTCTGAAAATAATTTGCAGATATAAATAATGGAATACTAAATAAATAAATAAAATTGCATGATTACATTCATTTTAATTATTGACCCTACCCTAAAGACTTGCTTTAAGAATGCCCATCTATCAATGTCCATGAAATTTAATTAATCAACTCTCAAGTTCAACTTACTTTTTTGAAATATATCTCTAGGGACAATTATTTCCAGGTAAATAATAAACTCGACAAATATCTAAATTGCCAGTTAATTACCATGCTATGGGGTATAATATCTTCAATCAACATCAGTTCAAACACTGAATAGTTGATAGACTAGCCAGATAAATATCCAAAATTATTAACTGCCTGCATCAAAGCTGGAACAGATGGCTGGAGTTCCAAAATAATCAATAAAAGTTCATTAGCATAAAAATAAGTTTATATTGTAAAGCATTATGCACAAATCCATAAATATTAGGGTTCTGTTAGACAGCACACGCCAGGAGCTTGGTTCTTTATGAAACGAACCTACGAAGGCCTTCAGGAAATATAATGAAGTCCCCTTCCTCTGCTGTCTGCCCAACCTCCCATAATTAGAAAACCAATGTGGGAATAAAACCGAGCAGTGAAGCAATGAAATACAAAATCTCTGCAGAGGCTTTTAAACAGGGGAAAAAACTCAGTCCATAACTAAAAGTAACTTACCACATGCCCACATGTCCACTGGCTTTCCATAGGGATCTTTTCGTAGCACTTCAGGGGAAAGATATCCAGGTGTTCCAGCAAAACCTTATAAGAAAATATCCTCAGGTTAAGCAGAGTATCAGACATGTGTATAAAACATTTTAATATTTATGTCTGTACTAGATTTTCCCCAATCATTCCACCTTTGCGCACCTATAGCAAAACTGTTACCTATCCTGTTGCCTGTTTTTGAAATCTACATATTTGTGAATTATTCCCATATATCCACCACAGGCCTTCAGTTGTGAAGAAGCAAATCCATTCACAGAGAAGTGCTACAGGCAGCTGAACCCTATAACAGTCTCCATTCAGACCCTCTGAAAATGTGAGGGTTTTCCCATTTCATCTTGCTCTATGTGCTAAGGATTTATCCAGACTTTGGAAAGAAAAACGGCTAACCTATTTGTTTATTTATTTATTAAAACATTTTTATGCCGCCCCATTCGCCGAAGCCTCGGGGCGGCTTACAACAATAAATAAAACCAATAAGTTAAAATATACATAAAAATAATCATAATAATTTAAAACACACAATATAAAATAAGCCGCCCTGGCCAGATAAAATTCAGTGGTATTAACATTTAAAATGTTGCTTAAATAAAAAGGTCTTCGCCTGGCGCCGAAAAACAAATAACGACGGCGCCAGGCGGACCTCTCTATTTGTTTATCTCCCTTATTCAATCATTCTCCTTACCAGAGTATCCTGGACTGTGATCTATAGGAGGGATAGGAAGCCTGTGATTGTTCTTAGATGGCAAATGTTGCTGACCTACTCACCCTTCGTGATTCCAGTTATACTTCAGAGGGCCATGACGAATTATTGTGTACAGATCAGAACAGTGTGGTACCATCCAGATGTTTTGGACTATAACTACCATAGTCCCTAACCACTGGCAAGCAGTTGGGACTGATGGAATTTGAACACTAACAAAATCTGGAGGGCCAGGGTTCCCCATCGCTAGACTACAGCAGCTTGGTAGGTAGAACCTAATGCAAACCCGGTAAGAATCGTTGCAGGACCACTGCAAGATAAAACACTAAGGATATGACCGGGTAGACTTATTTTCAGAAAAAAGAATACACCTGACCCAAAAGTGAGAGTCATTGCTTCCAGTGAACAGGGCCATACAAGCAGATCTGTAAGGAAAAACTAGTCCCTTGATGCCAAAGACTAGAATGTCCTGTTGGTTTATTCCAGTAAGCAACTATACAGTAGAGGTTAAAACACCATTTAATGCTCCTTCTGCTCCAACACAATTATTTTATGGCAGCCCTTCATCCTAGGAAATCAAGGTGTTATACAAGAGACATAAAACCCAAAACATGCCACAATATAATTCCATAAAATAACGTAACAAAACTTGAAATAATCAGAGCCTTCAATACAATAAAAAATGCATATAACCCTCTTGCTTTCTGCTCGTTCACTTCCTGTTTTATGGGGGAGACATGTAGAACTTGTAGGAGAAGAACTGGGATACCAACTAGGTGAAAGCACCAGCTCAGCATCTTCTCATGTCTTGATAATTGCTATATAGTTGCAAAACAAGGTAATGATGTTTAGTGGTGCTTCAAAGAACTTAAGAGGATTCTGTCTAATTGATAACATACATGATCACTTTTGCCTAAGCCACTGCTGCTACTGCTTATCACAGATAGCAATAAATGGTCTGAAACATGAGGCAGAAGAACTAGATCTTGTTTCGCACGGGCCAGATAGCAAGGGGGTTGATTACTTGAATACCAGAAGACACCCTTGTTGAGATGGGAACAGTACTTCAGTTGGAAGATGTCAAGCAGGCCTCTTAAGTTACAAGCACCTCATATACCTTCACTTTCACGCTATACTTCTTTTTGCTGTTCCTTTTTTAAATTTCAGGCAGCAAATAATAGTAGTTAAACCTCATTGTATGGCTGTATATGGTAAATGAAGATTAGCAAGGGGAAGAAGACCACAGCAATCATCTCTTCCCTGTCTTCACCTCCTGGGGTGAATGACACAGCACCAAGGGATGTAGTGGAGCCGGGGTTGGGGTTGGGGTTAGGGTTAGGGTTAGACAGACAGGAGAAAAAATGGACTAGCAGTTACATTAATCCAGGTTTGCAACATGCCCTAAAAGGATCAGATTGCAGGTGCTCTACCTGAGGCCCTGAAATTGCTGACAGTCAGCCTTACTGACAATCTTTGCTTGATAGCCAAATACTATAGACCGGTATGAGACAGCTTCCTGTGTTACCTGTTGCTTCAGCAGTTCTATTTTTAGTCTGAAAATCAAAATGGGCAAAAATCTGGCACAACACTGTATCTTCTTCCTTCTTTTCTTAACCTTTCCATATTTTTTTGACAAATTATCACAATAACTTTTTAGATTTGAATCCTGCTCTTCCTCACAACAGCACTGTGAGGCTGGTTTAGCCATATGGGAACTGTACAAAATCCAGATCTTCTTTCTTGTGGATTTTCCTTCTGGTGGATCCAAAGATATAATGCTCTACATTCTCAAACAGAGCGTGCATATGCGTGGGAAAAAAGACTGTTTAAAATTGTGTCCAGGGGTGAAAAACAGGATGTTCCAAAACACACCTTGCTACTAGAGCAGGATAAAGAGAAAACACATAGCTACAGAGAGCATAGAAGGGATTTCCCAACCTTTGGGAATCACAATGGTGGTCTAAGAAGAACTGAGGCAGAAATCCCTTCCTCATGTCTGGGCAGGGCTGTGGGAGGGGTTCCCATCAAATAAATCTTAGTTATGGGATCTTCCCGAAACAGGTTCCATGCATGGGCAAAACCTATAGGTGTGATGCAGAGAGACCACAAAGAAGAACTTGAGTGCCTCTGCATGTTTTTGCCTGTATCTCCCCTCGGCCCTGTCTAGTACAGTCAATAGTGAGGGACAGTGGTGGAGGAACACAAAGGAAGGAGGGAAACAAGTTGCCCACCCAAGTACTACAGGTTCTTCTTCTCTAAAATCGACAATGTGAATAAAATAGTGTAGAGACAATAGGAGGAATAGGAAAAAAATGGATTAGACATTAAAAAGTTCTCTTACCAAACCAGGCCTGTTGTTCACCTTGCACTTCAATAGCCAATCCAAAATCTGCCAGTTTTACAGCTGCTCCTTTTGACTTGCTAGCTAGAAGCAAGTTCTCAGGCTTTATACAGGGGAAGAGGAGGGATGGGAAAATGAGAGAAAAGGTAAGTCAAATTTGGAAAATTTAAATGCTTTGCCAAAATTAGGTTCCCCTTGTTAAATGACAGCAGGACATGGCCATGCCTCCTCAAGTCAAAGGTATGGTCAAAGGGAAGGGACCATACCAAGTGATGGCAAAAGGGGAAAGATCATGATACCTGCATCATTCTTTTAAATGGGAGCATGTTTTTCAGACCTCCAGATATAGGCATATAAATATTGTACTATAAGACTTTATTTTAATATATTAGAAAATACAGTGCACAGAATGATTACAGAGCAAAACTGAAGACCATTTCTTATGATACAACTTTAAACCCCCTTTCTCAAAAGGGACCCAACATTAACTTGACATTAAACCATTATAACTGGCACACCAAATCTCTAGGAGGGCCTTTGTTTGAGAACTTGGGAGATAGTCTGGTGCGCTTTAGCAATGCTGCCTAGACTGTACTTAGAACTGACTTATAGCAGCACCAAGATAAGAAAAAAAGTTTCCTTGAATTTTACATCTCCCAATAAACCAACCACTTTAGTATGATATTAAACAAACAAAAATCATGTCTATATTGATGTGCATCTGAACATAGGAAATACCTAGCTGTCTTGTATTAGCAAGGACAAATTATAATGCCCTTTTAACCAAGTAGTTCATTATTATACAAAAAACTTATTCAACAGACAGGAGGTAATGGGCAAGCACCCTCAACTTGTTGGAAGATGCTCATCCTAGCCCAAAATATACTTCATCCATTGAAAAGTGCCCTAAAAGAGTAATCTTCACTTGAGCCTAAACACTGATTATTTTATGAGTTTATATTGTTTTTTCTAAGTCAGAGAAACTAGAAAAATGCAGCTGTTTGCTAGCAGTTTGCCAGAGATATGAATATGCAAACTTCTCTTTTCAAGACTGGGAAAAGGTATGCTTAGTTCCTGGAAAGTACTGCTTATGTAAACTTCCACTAAATTTGACCCTATTTACTAGGGTCATTTAAAACCCAGTGCTGTGAAGTAACACACACACTCCATGTAGAATGGTGAATCTTCACCATTCACAGCATGCAACTAATAAAAGAACTGTGTCTCCAGCTGTTAGAAGTACTTAGCTATTAACAAATACATTTTAACCCAAAGTACTATAAAGTAAACATTACTGTCATAAGGAAGTAAATATAGTTCATCACAAGCAGCCACACACTTTAAAAGAAAGCTCAATGGATTTCTGAGCAGCTGAACTCTGCCCTGAAATGAACATGCATCAGCCATTTCAGGACCAAAAACATTAACATGTTTGTCATGCATGAGCTCTGAAGAAGATGAAGCAAATGTGCACAACTGGAGAAGAACATGGGGGATTTAACAGCATAATCCTGAGAGTCCATCCAGGAAAGGAACAAGTCAGTACCTGGATCACAACACTGCAGTTTAGCTGCAATCATGCATGTGGTAGGGAGGAGACAATAATTTATCCTCTGTCTTGTTTAGAGCATTATAAACAAATCACATAATGGCTCTGTTTCTTATTTTGTGTGAGTGTCTAATTTATATATGAAAAATTTACACTAAAATAAAAAAGACAAAAAGTTTTCAAATTCAAATTTTGGGTTTTCCCTGACATTTCAGAGCATCTGGTAGTCCACCTAACTTAGGGAGAATTCTGCTGTAACAGAGGATATTTTACAACTGACAGGGGCATGTTCTGAAAAAAGATCTTGGTCCCAATCCAGCTAAAGTTAAAAGCTGAAACCAATGTTATTAGTCACAAGTAATTCCAGTCCATATATTCCAACTTAAATCCCATTGATTTTGGTGAGTCTAAGCATGACTGGATCCAACCCTTTCTCATAACTAACTGAACTCATAACCCTTCAGAAATCTGCTAACTCCCAGTTTAATGTATGCAATCTTTTGACCTGCAGTAATTTGAATGGAACTTACTTATCTGAATTCAATTCATGATGGCCTTTTCACCAGCTACCTAGGCAAAGGGCTGGTCATTTCAAAATACACTTGACTACACTGCACTGATGCACTAATTCTCCATGTTCACAGAATTCCTTCTCCAGAGACATCTATCAGAGCATTTCTTTTTTACTGTTAGGTAAAGAATGAAGTAGTCTAGTCTTTGTTTAGAAATGCTTATGACTTTAAACAACTTTAATCCCAACAACTAGACTCTTTACTGGTTGTTGGAGGGGAGGAGTATATAAGTTACTGTGAACTTTTATTAATTATTAGGAAGAGGAGTGCAACAGCAAGTCACTTTGAGTTTCAGAATAAAAATACATTGAATGGAATTCCAACTCCTGTGCAAGGTGATGGGGAAACAATAATTATAGAACAGCACAGCCAGAATGCACAAATACTTGCAAAATAGTTCTCTGATGCTGACAGATTGGGAAAAGTGCTGCACAAGACCAAACAGTATGAATCATTAATTGCACATCTCAACCAAGAGTGGCAAGAGGAATTAAAAAAACAAGATCTGTGTTCCTTCTGAGGGACAAAAACAAAACAAAAAACAAACAAAAAAGCACCTGTGGAGATTGTTTATGTATACTTTGGAAGAAAAAAGCCTGAAATCTTTTAGCACTCTTAGATATTCTCCAAGATTAATTAGGAAATGTGAAATCATAAAAGTGCTCAACCATGGACAGAATCAGGTCCACCCTTTTAAATGGAAAAGATTTAAACGTGTGTTTAATCTTGCCTTTTGAATCAAGAACATCAAGAGTTTTGCAACAACTTTAGTAAATATTTTAAGGCATACGCTTGGTGGACTGGAGCCCAAATCCTCTAAAGTGTAAAATGCTTGCCTGGGTGAATATGTACACACACATCCCCCGAGTACAGAAATAAGAGAGTAAATACATGTAGCTTATATGTGTATACATATAATTACCAAAGTATGTATACATTCTCTGTTTTCTGCACTCCAGATGTATACACTTACCCCCACTTGATTAAGTATATATACTTGGAGGATTAAAGGATGTAGGTTGCAGTCCAAAACACGTTTTTTAATATTTTGTAACAAAAAGACACATGCGTGAATGTGTTGTGCTTTGCTACAAAGTGATTCTAAAGGGTAAGCCATGCAAACTACTGTGAGGAGCACAAACGAATGCAGGACACAGTCAAATTAATATAAGGTCCAATCAGCTTAGAAGTGACCCATTCCTGGCTACTGCCCTGCAATAGCACGATCAATGGTGTTAAACAAACTTCTAAAGAATAATTGTCATTTTCTGCAGTGCAATAGCCAGAATCATATTCTGAGGTGAGACAGATTTTGTCAAGACCAATTTCCCCAGTGCTAGATTTGTTACTAAATGCCAGTCAAGAGGCCTCATGCACTAATGTTTCCCTTTGAAACTATTTTCTTAGGCAACTAATGTCTCCCAGTGGGCTGTGAGTGGATCAAATTGATGAAAACTGTAATCCTATACTGACTGACCTGAGAGTAAGACCCCCTGAGTATTGTCGGACATACACCCTGAACAGACATCTGTAGAATTATGATGTTAAAGGTATTGTTGAATTGTGCCCTGCTTATTTTTGCAACCTGTGCTTTTCAACTGTCACTGTGAGTCTTCCTAAATGCAGGGTAAGAAGGCTTTGTTCTTTAAAATTGATTAAAGTGGATTTAGAAAGCTTAGCATGCGTATGTATGTTGTTTTGTACATATTTCTGGCCGAACAAAGCATGCATAGGAAACTGAGCTTGAAGGTTTCAGGCTGTGGTTGTGCATCTTCTCATCTTACCACACTTTTTTCGACTGCTCACCTCATAAGTTTTGCATCCTTTATTTGAAATGGATTGATGTGGAACCCATTGCTGAATTCAAGTATGATTTTGAAGCCTTTAAGATATCCATTACTATGCATAATTTCAGTGATGTTTATGCCAAAGGGGAGAAGAAAATGAAATATTCCTAAATCTGCAAGGAAAGGGTAAGTGTGTAGTTCTTTTCTTTTAAGTGGCAATTTTTAAATTTTTGAAAATCTTGCAAATTCACAAATCACTGTCTCTTTGCCTCCACATGCAAAAATGCAGTTAAGCAGTGCTTCAAGACTGTGTAGTGCAGTTATCTTCCCCAACAGCATTACTCACCTTTAAGTCCCGATGGACTACGCCCATCTGATGGCAGTGTAGCACAGCCTCCAGGATCTGCTGAATGCAATGACTGCATGCAAACACCAGGGGGCGTGTGTTAGTTCCAAGCTGTACACTCACTGTCTGTATACCCTCAGTGGGACTGGGTTAAAGTGCAAAACTATCAAACAACTGGGATTGTGATGTACAATCTCCAGAAATGTACCCACATTCCTCAGCTAGAGTAGCTACTGCCTCAGACACGATGAGTGTAACAATGCACTTCATTGAGCCTGCTTTGATTTTGTGTGGGATTAGGAGAAGAGAGAGGCTGTGGTGGACTCCACTTTAACGTAAAAGTCCTATTCATGGGCACATGTTTTATGTATTGGCACACAGATAATGAGAACAGATCAGGCCTAATCAAGCTATTTATAAGCTTGTCTTAAATTTCTGGTGCTGTTTGTTCCTTCTCCTCCTCCTCATTTACTCTACAAGTTCTTTTGAACCAACAACCCTGAAGGTAAAATTACTTTTAAGTAGCAATGCATTTCAGATAAATTATTCACTCTTCATGGTTTCATTTAACCAAGCAATGATTTGCTCACTTTCGCCTGAGGGTTCGTCCTACTCCAACAGAGCAATGCATGATGAGTTGTTCTGCCACTATAACCCATAGTCTCTGAACAGAAGTGGTGTTTTAAACCTGCAGGCTGACATACATCACAGCCAAAGCTAAACTGCAGTTGCAAGGTGCATCACGGAATGCAACCTTCTTCCAGAAAGTATGGCGTATCTCTCATACCACACCACTTGGGATAAGTGGTGAAAATCGCAAAAGGTCATTTTCTTGCAACACCTATTTCATCTTTTACTGTGATGTATGTTAGACCTGTGACACTTGCAAACTGGAAAGCAGCATCATGCATTATCCATTTTTCATAGTAAGGTTGAGGAGGGATAGCCAAGGGCATTTCTCAGCCAACCCACCCTTAAACCTCAAGCCAGGAAAGAGAAGAAGTAGTAGAAGAAAAACTTCTTAGCCAGCCTATGGGCACCAGATACTGACCTTCAGGTCTCTGTGAACTATGCCATTTAGGTGACAATGATTAACACTTTCTAGAATCTGCTGTATACAATGACTGCAAAGATACAAGGGCAGAATGGAAGGGAAAAACATTTTAAAGGCACATAATCACATTAAATGCAAAAATCAAATGAAAACAACTTAAAATTGTAATAAATAAAAATAATTGAATCACATTATTGGACACATTTTAAATGCACAATGAACCAGAAGACAGCGATGCTGTATGAGTGTGTGTGTGTGTGTACACACGTGCGTGCACACAAAGCTGCTTAAAGCTCCACCCAAAAGAAATGACATTTAACATATAATGTGACATTTTTAGACATAATCCTTTGTGTGCTATCTTCTATTTATTAAGTAGCAGCAAGTTAGGAAAGATAAAAGTCCATACACAAGGGAAAATGATGACAAATCAGTGTGGTGGGGTTGTTTTGCATTCCTTGTTGATGGTATGAACTGGAGGAGAATGCACATAAAAAACTGTGCACTGTGCACACCAACTGTATATTATAGAAATGATACACCAATGTACAGCCGTGAACAGGATACTTTGCATATTGCCTGGTCGCGCTGCTTATCTCTGAGAGATGTTACAAAATATGCATAACCTGTGGCCATCACACATCTGTTCAGCAGGCATATTCTCCTTCTGGAGACTATGCACACTCATAATGTATGCAATATTCACAATATCCAATGGGATTAGGGAGTTCTTTATATTGACTGAACAATAAACTGGCACCAACCCTCTACTCTTTCCGGAGCCAGGTAAAGACCTTTTTATCCAACCATCATTTTAATAACTAATATTTCAATATTATTAATTTGTATGAACTCGCATCTTTATTTTTTCTTTCTTTCTTTCTAATTAAGAGAGGATATATTGTGGTCAACTGTGTTACTGTGAAATGTTTTTTTGTCATTTATAATATTATATTGTTATTTATATTGGAATTTTTATTCTTGTAAGCCATCCTGAGGCTGCTGCAAAGAACAGCATATAAATGTTTTAAATAAATGAACAATTAAATAAACAAACACAATTCTACTGTCATCATCCTAATATTTGCACATACTCCGTGATTTCCAGTAAATGGCACAATGGCTGTTTTTAATGCACATTATCCAATGAACCTAAATGAACCCCAAGATAACTAAGAATATAAATACGCACATATACAAAGTCAACATCTGTACAGGAGAAACAGAAAGGGAGAAGAACAAACAAAGCAGGAATGAAAAAAGGAACAAAAAATATTCCTGCAACCCAAATAGGGTTATAGAGAAAATAATTGGAAAAATCAGTGCAATTCACTAAGTTCTCAAATTTAATCTAAGCCAACTATGTTATTAGCACATTTTTAAATAAAAAAGGAATTCCCCAAATTAGGTTGGGTTGGTTCCAGAGTTCCCTTGAGTAGAACTCTGTTCACAGGACATTGCTGTGGAGATACTGGTAAGGAGGCCATTTTTTCCATGCGTTCCTTCCAGCAGCTTCCTGAAAAGCAAGACTGAACAGAAGAAAAACATGCCATAACAGTATGAGAGGAGACATGGAGGGGTAAAAGGAGAAGTCGGCAAAAGTCACCTTTCACCTTCCTCCAGCAGGAGTTTCTGCTGGATCTTGGCACCTTTCATAAACAAGAGCCCTTCAGTTAGGAAAACAGACACCCTGGATCCAACCCATTTCATGCTTTTGTTCATTTAAAAACATAATTAAATCAAGCATGTTTGCTAAACACACAGCTAAATAGGAAGTTTAGGTTACAATTTTAGAAAGAAATGCAGACATTTCTGTTTAAATCTATTATAGTTCCTTGATTTACAAATGCATATCTGAACCTTTTCCTAGTATCCACAGACCCTCAAGACCACTTTCTCTAATGTTACTAGCATTTAACAGACAGAGAAGACAGACATTTTATACTCTCAAATCTCTATCTGAAAATAAGGGGCAGAATGCCAAAGATGACCTACTATGGAGGAGAGAGTATTTTAGATGGTCATCAAGAACTATGGTTTCGTTTCATGCTTCAGTTACAGACCTTAATGCCTATGGTTAACAAGCAACCATTCTTTTGAAATTTAGCCACAGCTTAAATGATGAGAACACATATTTTGGGTGAAGTAGAGATGCCCTATTAAATGCATAGAATGGCACACACAGTGCTCTGGATTGTGACCAGAGTCAGCAAAGGTAACTGAATGGTTAAAGGTCCTTTGAAAGTGAAGAGGCCACTCCTTACATATAGATTTTCACTGGTGGAAGGACAGAGCAGCCTCAGAGCTGGCTGCAAGAAGCCTAGTCACAGAAGGGGCCCTTCTCCTTCTATTCTGGACTGCAGTGAACAGAGGAAGAGGCGATTAGTTTCTCTTCCTGGTTGGCGAAACAGAGAGCCCAACTCAGTTTCCTCACCCGGCTTGAGATTCCCATGAAAGAAGAATCTGGTATGTGTTGTGACCAGGTAACTTCCCTCTTTCCTTCTCAAAACGAAACCTCAGAAGTGCACTTCTGTTTTTTTTTAACTTAGTCAGTTGCACGGCACTATAGAGCAAAGTAGTCCTCTGCTTGAGATATGGGAGAAGCATCTGCCTGATCCCAACTGAATCTTCCCTTCTCCTGTCCCTTTCAGTAAAGTGTCTAACTCTGCCTTCGGGGAGGCTCTACTGCTCAACAGCCGGACGGTGGGAATCTACTCAGAGGCTTTGTAACTGGTCCGCTTGTTTCACACGTCAACACCCGACTGGCTCAAGGAGCTCTCCTTGCACCTGCTCCTCCTCCTGCCCCGAAAAACCTGACTCCTTTTCCAAGGCAGGCTGATTCTCATGCTCTGCCTGAGGAATTACAGCAGGTTAACTTAAAACTGCTGAGTCCTCCCCCACTTGCCCTCCGCCTCCTCTTCAGAATCAGAGGACTCTACCTGAGCAGACTGTAATGTGCAAGAGATGCCTCTCCCCACCCCGCCCCTGGTAGTTCTCTAATATTTCAGCTACCAAGTCTAGCTGGCGGATTGGGAGACATCAGTGACGTTTCCTTGGGGCTTGCTTGCCTCCAAGACTCTCAGTTGGCACAGTACACAGAAACTAAAGGTGCAGATGTTACTGTTTGCCCTTTTCTGAAGCTCACTGCAAAACAGTCAAGAAATGGCCATTAAAACAGGTACAAAGACTTGCCACATGATGAGGTCGCATCTACATGGCAAGCACATTACAGATATTATGCCCCCACTGTTGCACAGAAATGTCCCAAGAATAATTCTACGATTTAAATATAACATTAAACCACTTTTATAAAAGGTCTGTAAATGGTGTAGGATGGACACTCATGTGCATGGACTGCCCACTGCAACCATTTTCAAGGCTCTCCAAATGGTAATGGGCTTGTGACCAGTGGAGAGAAAAGAGAAGTGCATCTTCCCAGCAACAAAATATAATAATATTAAATGCTGGTAAATTGTGACTTTCCTACAATAAGATGAGGGAAAGATACTTAAGTCCCCCAACAGAATAATAAATGTACTTTAACGGCAGACTAAAATCATCTTCTGTTACAATCCCTATGAAAAATTTATTATGGAGCCAAATATCTGAAATGAGGCTTACAACCCAAAGAAACAAAACACTTGCATGTCACATTAATACTGTTTTCCAAGTTTGAATTAGCACTGGTAGAAAACCATTGCCAAGAATCATTAGTGTGTTCTGGTGCCAAATATCACATTAAACTTAAATAAGCAAGTACTTTTTTACGGTGGAAAGTAATGCAGATGAAAAAATTAAAATCAAGAACTTACCTTGCATCTGCTTCACTGTAATATTCTCTCGCAACAATATCCTCAAATAATTCCCCTCCAGTGACTCTATTAATAACATAAAACATTTTTATGGTCTGGCATAATAAAATAAGAAATGTATTTGTGTGTTCTTAAGAAAAGTTGCCCACACTTTCTAAGTACTGAATCACAAAGTTGATTCACACATTATGCAGTGATATGTCTAGGTTCACACAGAAAAGGAGTTTCAGCAGATCACTCCTGATGCATATATTGTCAAGATACTGGAAACCCACTGAGAGAAATGAGCATTTAATGCACATCCAAATTATTGGCATACAGACTAGAACAGAATCAGTTGGCTCAGCTGAAAGACCAGCTTCATTTGGCTCCTCAACCCCCTGGTTTGTAAGCAGCCCCGAGGCTTCGGCGAATGGGGCGGCATAGAAGCTTACTAAATAAATAAACAAACAAACAAACAAATAAATAAGATATATTGTGAGTCTAAGAGCTGTGCCTTCCTCTCCTCTCCTCTCTCCTCTCCGTGTTGTCTAAAGCTGTAGGACAGGCTGTTTTGTTTGCTATTTATCTTTTGTAAGCAACTCTTGACCTTTACCATACTTTTTGATTGAAGAGTGGCATAAAAATGTTTCAAAAACCTCCAAAATCAACCAAAACTCTCAGGTTCTATAGGCTTTCAGTCTCCATGCTACCAGTTTGTTATGTTTCTGATTATCCCACCAGAGAGCTAAAAATGGGCATATTTTCCACAGAAAAAGAAGGAATCTTACACTTTGAAGAAACAAGTTGATCTGTTATCTTGAATAGATTTACATCAGATTGAACTTTGGAAATCTTACTTTGAGTCTCTACTTCCTCCAAGTCACTGTACTTTTTATATGATTTTGCTCTGAAAGTTATATAAAAGCATTCACACATACCAAGAGATGTCATTTTACCTTCCCCCACTAGAACATTTCATTGTGAAGATAGTTTTCTTAACCACGAGTTTGTATAAATAGTCCAATCAAGCATCAACGTTCTCTAGAGAGGAAACAGCCTGTTCTACAACCTGGTAATTTTTGAAACAAGGTTTTTTATTTGCTGGGGTTTTATAATCAAATATGTTGTTCTGGGAGGTTTAAACTGAGATAATTTTTAAAGCAATTTAAAACCCACATTCATGACCTTTATTTCTGCTCAATAGTGTTTTCAGCAAAAGAAATGTGCTTGACAAGCAAAAGTCCAATCCTTTACAAAAATAGCTTTCAATGCTGAATATAACTGGGTAAAACAACAGCCTTATGACTCAACTGTAGCAACATTTTTTATATCCAGTGACCTCTCTCCTCCTATAACAGTATGATGTTTCGGTTAATAATATGCTATTACATAAATCTTTCATAAATACAGTTTTGCTGGACAAAATATTTTTGGGCTATCTTTTCATATTTACTGATAGTTCTTGTGCTTTTTGGAACATTATCCAAATTTAGATTATTAAGCTGTGATGGAGTAATAGCTTTCCCCACATGTAACTGTAGCGCTATTGCCCATTGTTTGAGAGTGATTTATTTATTTAAAGTATTCTTATCCAGTCTCTTAGCAAGACAGTTAATTTAAAAATGCACTAACATAATAATTAAAAGCACATTATGGCCTGGTTCAAGCATAATTTCAGTCTAATAAAGCATGGTTTATTAGGTCAAAAACAAGCCTTATGCCTAGATGTTCTCTCCGCCTTCTCTCTTGTGCTCGCTCACTTGTTCATGTTGTATAAATGAATTTCTCCTGGAATTGTTAATCCGTGTTGTCTCATTGCAAATGGACAATAAGCCTACATGCTACAATCCAGGAACTGATCCGAACCCACAGACCACTGTTTCTTGGTCTCAACATCACCCAGATATGCCTGAAGTTTGGGCACTGCCACACGTGCACCGCAGTCAGCCCTCTGGGCAAACTTGCGACAGAGGCTCTTTATGTTTTCAAAGTTCTTATCCTGTAAGAGATGCTTTGCAATTAACAAAATATATTCTGCTTGAATTCCTAGATTAACATATCTTGCGGTGTAGTCAATGTATAGGGCATGATCCATCCCCAAGAGGTGCAGCCATATTTGCAGAGACACAGACAAAAGACAGTATTCTACACTGCTAGAACAAGACGAAGGGGATCCTGAAGCAAACTGAAACAAGCCAAAATGCTGGTTTCCAGAACAGAACAAGCCAGTGGATCTTGCAAAAAGGAACCACTGACTTGTCCCATTCCAGAAAGGAGCATTTCTGTTTGGTTAACAAGATTGATGTAGCAAGCAGTGCACTAGGACTGGGTCCCACTGGCAGAAAAGAAACACTGGGAGCACAGTAGAATACTAGATACTGACCATAGAGTTATTAGGGCCAGGAGGAATGAGTACTGCAGTGAGCGTCATGCAAACTCCTCCATGTGTACAGGGACATGCCTACCTTGAGAATAGACTGCATCCATATTGTGCTGTATATGTTGCTGAACCTTTCAAAAAAATAGCACTCTATACATAACAGCATTTTCTTCAAAAATGTTGGAGAAAAATTTTTGAGGTCAATGCCTCTAGCCATTTAAGAAAGGGAAATGAAAGAACAAACACTCATCTAAAATAAAATCTAATGAGGACAGAGGAACCTTAAAGGTACAATCCTAGCTCCAGCTCTTGTGAACAGTCAAAGAAAGCATTCACAAAATGTTCCCAAAGCATTTATGAATTCACTGCAGGAGTATCTGCATGGCTCTAGTGTGAAAGCCCCCTTCTTTTCTCTTGTTGCCTATAAACATGATTTATCTGGACCAGGGTTCTAATTTTAATCAAGACCTAAAACCAGGGTTGTGTAATATCATGGCACACAGCAGACCTGTTCACATGATCAAATAGTTCACCGTAGCATATTTAAGCCATGCTGGACTGCAGTGTCTGTTGGTGGACATTTAAACCATTCACACCAGTGGGGGTGGTTTGTCTGAAGGTTAAACCCTCATAGAACCCATTAACTGTTTTAGGGTTATTTGAGAATTGTTTCACTTCCATGTTTGGATGACATGACAAGCTTCAAGTTGCCCCATGACTATACTATAATTATTTGCAAGACAAAAATATGACCAGCAATCCCAATACTTATTTTATGTGTTTTCTAATGCAGAATGGATTCTTTCTCTCTCTTCACAGAAAAAATTCTACCAGGAAGCTTATTGATATCTCCATATTTTATTTAGCCAACTTGCTTAAGGCCACACAGTGAATCTATAGCTGGTAAAGGATTTGAAGCAAGATAGCACATAGACCAATGGCTTAGATATTCAGCTACAGTGGGTTTCCACATCTCACCCTTTGTAAAATGGTTTGGTGTGGTATGTATGCAGCAGGTATACTTACAAATCAAAGACTAAGTAATGAAATCCTTCTTCTGATATGCTGTCATGAAGTCGCACTAAGAAAAGGAAACAACAACAAGGTATTTTTGTATTTTAATTCCAATCTACCCAAATTGTTCAATTCCCCCTTTTTTGCATAATCATATCCCATGAAAAAGAAATGCTTAAAGGAAACACAGAGCTTTTTGTGTTCATTTTTGCAATATTTTTATAGGATGGAGTCCTTTCTCTTAGTATGTAAGAATCACACCATCTAATAGGTTTCTATACCTTTTCTTGACTTACATCTATTGTAAATCCAATAAAAGTCATGCTCAGACCCAGTGAAATTATAGGATGTAAATTTAATGACTGATTTAAGCCCTATTAAATTCAGTGAGTGTACACAATTATGGCTTGCAATATAGCCATAATCCACCTATACTTCATCCTTTTTAAACTTGTGAGCTTGTTTGGAAATTTAAGACTTGGGTGCTACCGCAAAATGGTTCCATGGTTACTGCAGCCAGTCACAGAATGGCTGCAGTGGGCAGGGGTGGGGCGGCATCTTGCTAGTCAAATATGGGATACAGAGGAGTATGGGAGGGAATAGCAAGGCTGGAGGCAGAGAGCAATAGAAACAAGACTGCCCTAACATTTTCTAAAGCATTCTTAAAACATTTTTAAAGGGAGGGAAGAACTTCATGTGTATCCTTGAGGAATGCTGGATTAGACCATAACTCATGAATGCTATTGACTAAAATGTATTTATTCAAACAGCTTTTGGAAACATAAACATTCACAGCACAGACTGCAGCTTTAATAGTACTTCAGTGTTACTGGGTAACTAGGTAGATACTTTTGGAGAAAATGTTTTTTGCAGAATAGTTTAAATTGGAATCAGCAATTATATGTTTCAAGTGTCGACAAATGTTGGATAGCAAATTGAATTCACTGTTTAGCCATTACCTTTACAGCCAACACACTCAGGAGAGAAACAAATGCACATTACACTTCACGGCCTTCACTATGAATATATCAGAAGTGCTTTGTTCTATCAAAAAAGGAATTAACATAGAACTCAATCAATTGTTCTTCATATTAGGAAGCCATCATCAGCGAGTGGGAGATTTTGTCAACAGAAGAACTGGAAAAGATAATTTACAGTGCTGCTTTTTCCATTTTTTAAGATCATGCTTCAGTCCAGACCTCACATTATACAACTGAGCAAGTGATCAGGACTTGGAAATAAGTAATTCATCTGTCAAATGCCTAGTCAAATCCTATCAAGCATTAATGCACACATTTTAATTTGCAAAATCCACTTCTGCTTAAATACACCTTTTACATTCCAGCCATCAGCAGAAGTGGTGATGGAAGTGGAGCAGCCTCGGGAGATTGCTGTCCGATAACAAAAGCACCTATCTTCCTTCCGCACAGTATGCCAACTGCAATGCTGGTAGTTCATAATCTCAGCCATCCGGGCAATATGCTTACACAGAAATTCCCCATAATGCATGGCTATTAGCAAGTGTTCAGTTAGAAAAATATAAAATTATATTAAAAAGACCAGAGTTAGTGGCATGCTGGGTTTGTGGCGCTTTCCTTTCTGATGACTTTCCTACCAGCATGGATCATTTAATCGCACTGGTGTAGCTGTAGAGGTTTCTAAGATTATAAATGGTATGCAGAAAGCATAAAGTTTTTTTAAAATTTCCTCTCATGTGAGGACTGGACCTGGCAGAGTTCATCCAATAAACCTGACTGGCATTAGGTTCAGAAAATATAGATATCCGCACTATTGTGCACATTTCGTAATTAAGGAATGTACTGCCACAGAATGGGACAGGGTGCATTCTCCCTTCCCCTATGCCTGCTTCCTTTTATATATACTACTACAGTTCAACACCATAAATTTGTACTAGAAACAGGAAACAAGTTATGTTAAGCCTTATTTCAAGCAAATTTGAACTTCTTTCTCTAAAGCAATTCAAACAATAAGGGAGACATAACAGAGATTTAAGGAATATCACTAAAATATCCAGAAAAACAATTTGAAAAAGTACTTAAGTATGAAGTACCCTATGTGGCTGGTCATAGGTTGTAGGACTCTTTTATGCCTAAGCATGTGCTGGATTGTCCTCCAAATATGTCAGAAGCAGAAAACTTTCTAGAAAGGCAGTTAGAGTCTTGGATAACAAAGGAGTTAAAGTCGTACCAAAGAAGAATAAAGTGACTGCAGAGCAACTAAACAGATTCTTTGTGATAGTCATAGAATCATAGAATAGCAGAGTTAGAAGGGGCCAAGAAGGCCATCAGATCCAACCTCCTGCTAGTGCAGGACAGAAAGTTATACCATTCCTCTCAAATGGCCATTCAGGTGCATCTTGACTGCCTCTCATTTATCTAATAGGTTCCATTGTTGTACTGCTGGGATGGTAAGGAAAATTTTCCTGGTATCTAGGCAGAATCTGGTTTCCTGTAAGTTAAGTCCATTATTCTGTGACCTGCACTCTGGGATGATCGAGAAGAGATTTTGTCCTTCATCTTTGTGACAGTTTTTCAGGTACTTGTAGACTGCTACCCTACCACCCTCTCAGTCTTCTCCTCCCAAGGCTGAACATGCCCAGTTTTCTTAATCTTTCCTCGCAGGGCTTTGTTTGTAGTCCATGGGTCATTCTTGTTGTCTCCTCTGAATTCTTTCTGACTTTTCTGCATCTTTTTATAGTTTGAAGCCATTAGTCTTTACAGAAAAATAAGCAAGACAGATACATTCCACCCTCCACCCCCAAATCTAAGGAACAGAGAAAAATAAAGGTGAGAAGAAATTGTGTTCTGGCCCTTAATGATAAATTAAAAATTCACCAAACACCTGGCCCAGATAGTATCTGTGTGAAACTTCTTAAAGAACATGAACATCTAAAGAAAAAGAAAAAGAAACTTGTCGCTAAGATGTACCAGATAGTTATGCACAGTTTTTTAAAAAAGGAATCCAAGGCTTGCCTGGCATTCAACAAACACACAAGGGGGTGCCTGGCATCATGACAGCTCATGGTTCATCTAACCTACATATATTTATTGCAAGGTAAGGCCTGAAATGTACCCACACCTCATGCTCATGGTTGTATGCACACAGACTCTATGTTTGGGAACACTACTTTACTATGACCAGGAAACAGGTTTCTTAAAATGAAGAGGGATTCCCAAATCCGTGGCTGCATGGAGGCTTTCTCGGACCTCACACTAAATATTTATAGTTCAGGAGATGAGCCAGCCACTTCCATGTCCATCCCACAACTTCTCACACCTCCATAGACATACCTGTTATTCACAGTAATAATATCTGAAAAATGCTCCCACCTCTCCTATTTCAGAAGGCAAAAAAGCACAATGTAAAATTCAACCAGCTATTAAGAACTCGGAATACGTATAAAGAAAAGCTTTTATCTATTAAAAATGTGGATTTGGACTATCTGAAATGTACAGCTCATGTGTTTTTTTCCTTAATACAAAGCACTACAAGCAATTTGGATATACACATTAATTATGGTCATGCTGTGAGCCCTTTTACTTACAGAAGACTTTCACCTGTGACAATTTAAATATCAGAACAATAAGTATTCAAGGAAACTACTCAGTGTGCTAAAAATATTTTTTCCCAACTATGTATACCTGTATCAAGAATAATTACAGTCTAGGGTACATTATCAGTAGGAGATAATTGGTTTCCTTGGGTATAAGCTAAAAAGCTAAGTGCCTCCAAATCCCCAGGAAGCATGGCTGCCTTGTAGTAACTGTCCATTTGTTCTATTTTAAACTTGTAACTTGAACACTGTGGGGCTTTGCTTTCAATACACTTTATGCATGTAAAGAGTATTCCTATACAATTACATTCATCGGATGGAAAGACTGACATTTAAAAAAACATGCTCAAGAGGAATCCCTGTGGATGAGGAAGGCAGAAGAAGAAGCCCTGCAGGATATGACGACGACGACGACGACGACAACGTTCCTTTCTATACTGTCTGCAGCCGAAGCTCTCTGGACGATTTACAACGAAGTATAAAAACTTTGTTGTAAATACTAGAGCACATGGCATAAACCTCAAAATTTACTATCAAAATAAAACAGCCTGTAATAGCAAGAGTATTCCAACATTCATTAAAATATACTGTAGGCAGAAGCAGGGCATGACTTAGTGACCCGGCCACTTAAGTAGAGGTGGAACATTTCTGGTCTACAGATAGAAGTAGGTCAATAAGCGCTTTCAAACTGGTCAGGACCCATTTTCCTCAACCTCCTGGAAAAGCTGTTGGGCAATGACACTTCATGGATTTCTAGAAACCGTGGAAGTATTTCCTGGAAACTCCCTGGGAAGAGGCTTAACCATATCTCTAAGCAGAAATGCCAGTGAAGTCATACCACTTTCTGACTTCTCTTACCTAAAGAAAAGTTGCACCTCAAATAGAGATTTCGAATTATAATCTGCCTTTCTCATTTCTTCACAACAATAATATTTATTAACTCTTGTTCTTCAGGGGTTTTGCCTAGCACTTCTTCTGGTGTGCTTCTATTTCCATCAAGCTTAAACCCCAAGATGTTTACACTGGGAGGCTCTCAAAGCTTTACCCTGAAGAATGGCCAGGTCCCAGATGCATGTACATTTCAGGAGAAAGGCTTAGGCAGGAAAAAAAAACCTCACAAGATAAACAACTCCTCCCTGGTGAGAGTGAATGAAATGAATATGCATACAGAAATTTATATCAGTTTGGAAAGTCTTGGATTATCATGGATATTTGATCTGAAATATTTTATTTTAGAAAACTACAAACTACCTTGCTATTAATTCTTGCTTTTGATCCAAATGGTCCTAGTTGACAGGCAGGTGTTAGGCTCTTATATATTTATATTAGTACCTTGTAGATTTGCAAGGCATCACAGCCTGCAATAAAAGCCCACAACTTGTCAGTTACTAGTAATACCAAGCAATGGGTCTATTATTTATGATGTGTATGTTTAATCACTGGTAGAGCAGCAAGTACTGTGACTCAATACAGCTTCCATGCATATTGAATTG